TCAAAACTTGTTAGCTAGTTTGATGACCTTGTGACACAAAATAATTCATTTTTTCCGAAAGAATTCAATCTCATAATTATAAGGAAATAGTTGACAAAAGTAATAAAAAGGCTTTCCAAAGTTATGTAAAAATTTCATATCTGAAAAAAATCTTTACTTCTTTATTAAAAAATAAAATGTACAGTGTAAATATATTTTGTTCTAGACAAAGAGCGCATTCATTTCCACCTTGCTAAACGATGTACATAAATTGATCACTCGCTTGTTGTTTATTTTTATATTTTCTGCTTGTTTCGAAAACAGATGTTGACAAAAATGTATCACTGTCAACAATTTGTTGAGAGCAAAACAGATCTGTCTCCCTTTATTTCCCTAAACATTTTTTTTTGCATTTGTTGAAATATTTATCCTAAAAAATATTGTATAAGGACATTAATTGACTATCACCAAATGTCAGTTGACTCATAAAAACATGATCTTTGCATTGTCAGAACTTATGCTGGCATCATTGTTGAACAAGAATAAAAACGGGAAACAGAAAGTTTCTGGATTTAAGGGGAAAATTGGCTTGTCATTCGTTGAAATGTCAAATTGTGATCTGGAGCCGTAAAGCTAGACCTAACCATTAACTCTTTAGTATGTCTTTAAATGTTATACATTTTAGCAAAGGCGGTGCTGAGTTTGTTTATAACTATATGTATATAACATTATAAACCTTGTCCGTCGCTTTTTTTCTATAGCTACTGAAACTTCTGAAAAAATTTCCTTATCCGAATGACCACTAAAATGTCTTTTCATCTTTTCTGATATCAATAATAGTTTTTTATATTTGACGTGCGAATACATCTTTGATGGAATAAATAAAACAAAGAACAGATTTACTTGTTAATACAATAAGAAATAACCTTTGTACGTATTCGCTGTTAAGTAAATTCGTAAACTGTTATCCTTAAGTTGCATTTCCCTTTCTATTAAAAATATTTTGTTAGATTCAATATTATTCTTTAAGCAAAAATTTGAATGTCAATTATGTCCTGGAAACATAAAGTTACTTTTTGCGAATGATGTATTTGCAGAAATTGTATTATGATTTATTTACACTGTGGGTTTTTCTTTCAAAACAAATGCGTAGGACACATAGAATAATTCAAAATAAAAAAAATAAATATTTTGTTTACTTAAGTAATTGTACTGCTAAGTAATAAGTGTCTTTCTTTAAATGTAATACAAATGCAACCAAAACTCTATTTTTTTTTATATTACAACAGTATCAGAATGAGCATGTAATGAAGAAAGAAAACGAAAACTCAAGACTTTTATTTTATAAAAAATCCACTCTTCTACATCATTGCGCCTGTTTTCAGTTCATAAAAACAGTCTTCTTGAAGAGTTTTTATTTTTCAGTTGATTCATTTGATTAAAGTGATAATCTGTCCGATACATGGCTTTGTTCAAACAATGATGCTTCGTCTTTTTCTCTGTTTTATATATTGAAGCAAGAGAATAATATACATCTATAGATATTATCAACTTACTTAATTTAAAAACAGGCTAGTAATTATCTCTGTATTGTATTTCTTTATATTGTTTGAGATCAAACTCTAGAAACAATAAATACCTTCATCATCATATCATTATCCGACAAGAGTATTGATATGCAGAGCAGAAGAAAGCAACCAGTATTTAGAGACTATCTGGAAACGAGTAATTTATTTACAACCCATTTATGTGTACAAATGCTTGTTTATTGTCGTCATCTGCAATCATGAGTCCACATAAGTGGATTTAATTTATGGTCCTTCATTTTTTAATAACACTCTTAAGGATGGTATTAGGGAGTATAAGTGTCCTATTTTTGCATTTTAAAACATGATAGCAAACATCTCAAACCATACCAACTCCACATGACAATAATTATTATTGTTATCATTTAACTTTATCTACTCCAATTTGAATTCGGCATTGTCACATGACACTAAAACTACGAGATTAGCAAAAAAAGGGCTAACCTTTGATATGGATACGGTTAAATATAGTGTTTTTTTGTATTCACTATGATATCAAAGTTACAGATGGTTAAACAAGACAAAATATGCTTTGGTGAACTCAACGTGGCCTACAGCCTTGAAACGGAGGGTAAACTACCAACACTACAACCACAAGACAGTCTAAATTACTAATAAAAAAAAAAACAAATATTCTTTTTAACGACGCATAAAACCATCAAAGATTTAGATGAAATGACAAATTGTTCTTTGAGAATGTAAATACAACTACGTGTACATGTTTTATATTATATAGTACCATATCACAAATATTACTCTATCTTTTAATGATAATTGATAAATGATACATTCATGACATGTTGTTTTCAATATTTTTTTTAGTGTCATCAATATTTCATGTTTGGTTTTCTATAGGTTAGATAATGTAACATTAATTCATTGACGGTGTATAATGCTCTTTTCTTGCACATGAATGAATTAAAAGCGGCTATAGTATGCTCTGTTTAATGTTTTCTCTAAAGTGGAACCGTTTTTAGAGAATAAAGGATAGGCAAATTCATTAAGAGCCATTGTAACAAGGTAGACATTAAAAGTCTGCAGTATATCATGTTTGTCCCAGGAGAGCAAAACTATCCGAATATAAGCAAATAGATCTTCACAAGCACGACACACCTTAAATACAGCTGGAACAGAGATGGCTGATAACATTAACACACTGGCATAGGAAAACGATTTTGGACATATAAACACACTTCTTGTAATAGAAAAATCGAGACTTCTGCACTTAAATATTATTGCCATGTGTTATCTATTGTCCACTCCTTGGAGCGAATTTGTAGGTACTTGTTAAGATAATTGAATGCTAGTTTTTCAATATAGATATGATACAAAGTTCACGCCATTTAACAACCAACCAAACTCTAAAAAGAAGTCTTTAAATGCATGACTGATTATAATAATGGAACATCTGAATGGATAGTTTTAATAGATGATATTTTAACTGATGAATTTTGGATTTTAAAACGGCACCAATACCAAATTCTACAAATTATCTTCATAAAGAATTCCAATGGATGCTTGGGCTTGGTGATTTTAACATTTTTTTTAGATTAATGAACAACAAAATAATTTTATTCTCCATTGAAATTAGAGATTCAAATGTAAATAATGTATGAATAATTTAGATTATAAAATCATAAGTGGGTGTCTTAAAAAAGAAATTGTATTATTTTATTTCATAGAATAACTGTGTTTCAGAAATATTTATTTCAAATGATCTTTTTATTTGATTAATTTATGTATGGCATGTCGCTTTAATGTTTTGTTTGTTTCTTTATTTTTTTAATTTCATTTTTTTTATTTAAAATAATGAGTTGAAAATTGCAAGGAACCCATTAAATTAGGGTATGCTGTAAACGATATTTTATTAATGTGATAACTTAAGTTATATATTATTTTCATCTACTATGAATTATATGAGATATACAATTCAAACGAAATAAAATGTCTATACCATTAAACTGTAGTTTTATCATCTATTTATTTATTTTATTGATATATCCCTTTTTTTAAACAATAGAAAAAATATAAATGAGCATTATTTTATTCACTATATACAAAGTTTATAGAAAATGAAGACTACGGTCATACAAAATATCACAAAAATTAAAGATTGCTGAAGTATTTTCTAAATTGATTTTAAGATATCGTTTTAATATTATTTCATATAAAAATTGACCATTTTATCATTATGATAAAAATGGAAAAAAAATACACTTAAACCTCAGAAAGCAAATAGAAGAAAGAAGTTAATTTCAAAATTACTAAACAAAAGAAGTAACTTAAAATAAAAATAATAACTCTTCATTGATAATATTTTGTAAAGAGACAAAAATATTTCCAATTTAAAAAAAAAAAAATTTGTATTTTTTTTCCTTGATTTATGGAGTTCAAAACATTTGAAAATTCAACATTAACAAAAAAGTGCTTTTTAAGATGAATTTCGTTTATCGTGTTATAACGCAGTAATAGAAAATAAAAAAATGCACACATGCAAACATGAGATTTATTTCTGCAGTGGTTGAGAACATTTTTTTCCTCATTATTACGTTTTTATTGAACTGATTTACGTAACATAAAATAGCAATATTTTTTATTTCTAACTATTTTAAATGGATACAGAACAAAATGATTAGAGTTTCGAGTTCAATAAAAACCGAATTAAAGTGACAATTAAAGTCAAACCAAATTTTAAACACAAACATTTTCTTTTAAATTTCATTTCCAATTATTATTTGTGAATCATTTGCAAGTGAGGTGTTTAGGTCAAATATGAAACCAAATATTACTGTAAAAACTGAAACCTGAATAAAGATTGTTTTCTCCATTATGTAGTCATATTACATTATTAATAAAATGATAATAATATTAAAAATTGATACTATGCCTACACAATTATGACTTTTTCAACTTTGAAATTGAATGTGTTAATTATACATGGGTCATGATGCCATAGTTGTCATAAATCATTACTTTGATTGGTTAATTAGAAATCGATTGCCTTGATACTTTATTAAATGCAATGCTATGTGATGCAACGGGTTTGCCTGTATCATTTGATTTAAATATTTTTGTGTATTTTATTTTTGTCTCATTCATACAGTTTTATATACACAAATATTACATAAAACATGCATACGACCATTTTATTTAAAACTTTCAATGAGAAATATATTGAAGACCTATTACACGTACACTAGAATCAAATAGTACAATTATAATGTAATATAATTCGAATATTAAAATTTACGTAACTATCGCTAATCGATAATTTTTTGAAGAAAAAAAACTACCCTAAAAAGATGATATTCAAGTAACTGAAAACTGTAAATCGGAGTCCTAACGCGCGTATAAAAACATTTTAAAAGATCGATTGGCATCCAAGTAAATGCATATGCAAAAGATGTTTCTAAACCTCCTTTGAGAAGAACTTACCTTCATTATCCGACTTATCCTCGTCAAAATCACTGTCGTCTGTATATCTGTGTACGGCTACACTTCCTGGATCGGACCCGCACGAACTGGCAGTCAACGGTCTGTCAATGAAATGTCGGTGTGGGAGAGAAAGCAACCTTGGATCCGAGAACACACTTTGGCAGACTTCTCTGTCCTTTTTATTGTTATCTGATGAAAGAATGTCAGTGATCATGAAAGAGGGTCTGTTGTTTGGAAGTTTGGGTTCGTCTTTAGAGACGTTAGTTGTACTAGAATGAGATGTAAGCGTAGAATTAGAACTGAAAACACTAGAAGAATGTTCAGACGATTTTGCTGAGCACTTTAATCTGTCCTCAAATAATGAGCTTATGGTTAAACTAGATTTAGAGTTAATAATACTGTTGATTCCAATGGCGGCGTTTTGTGCCGCGCTCAGTGTCTTTATAGAAGCGTCCATTGGAAACGTCTGCTCGATATTATAGACTGCAGACGATTTATCGTCTGTCCGTGCCCGTAAAGAATCATTTAAAAAGTTTTTTGACAACTCTTCACTAGAGTCAATTTCAGAATATTTTCTTTTCAGATAAGTGTCGGTCAATCTATGATGCACCGGAATAAAACCATTTCGGTCTCCATTTTTGGAGGACAGTTTCCCTGTGTCTTTCTCTTGACAACCGGAAGTCTTTTCGCTGTTTTCACTCCTAAGTTCATTTCCGTGCAATCTTGACTCTTTCTCACTGTCTCTTGTAGCATCAGCAGAAAGTTCGTCTGCTTCAACGTCTATATCGTCGGCTTCAATGTCTTCTTCTTTTGTTTTAATCTTCTCCATACTTGTATCTATAATTTCTATTCAATCGTTCCTTTCTTTAAATACAACTTCCGACACGTTAAGATCAACACTTTAGTATTTGATTTAGAGAAAAAAGCCTGATAAACAAGGCTTCAAAATTTGACAATCCTAAATAAATAACCTAAATGTTGCAAGTTCTTCTTAAAACTTTATGTCATCTTTTTTCCCTGCGAAAACGATATCCGAACAGAAGGCTTTTCTTTTTCTCTTTATTTCCTTTTCTAAATTGATACTTTTCAACTATATTGACACAGTTGTTTATTAATTCTGATAGGTATTTAGAGGTATCTGATACATTAATATAAATTTTCTCTTTTTTGTTTGCCCGACGATGGGTAAAATGTTAATAATTGGGAGTCAAGTATTTCTTTAATCGGAGAATCACTTCATAAATTAGGAAATTTTACGACATTAATCTCTCCAACAATACACCTAAATATGTCCTATTCTTCTATAAAGATGCCGTCATTTGTCAAAATGATGCTATCTCGACGTAACGTCTCATCCCTGTAAGTGATACCCCAACCACGGGGCCGAAACCATTTCAATGTTCCTTTTGTTGGAAAAATACAGCATTTAGCGACAACTATTAATAATGCGTCTATATTTTTTTGTTTGCTAAATATAATGTCAAAACCGGGTGAGATACTGTTTCTATATTTATTCTATAGTAAAGTAACCATTTAACTTTATACTTTTAAGAAATTATTTGATATATATTTATTTAGATGTCACACGGTGGAAACAAGATATTTGTTTAAATCATTAAATGTTTCACGTATCCAATTACAGGGTGTGCTTTCCTCACCGAGGTATTTATCAAGTGTTTAAACACCACACTGTTTTTTTTCTTTCTTGCGTTTTTTTTTTATTAAATATGTTTCAATATGTATAAATACGATCGTGCGCCACACTCAATAAATAGGCAGATCAAGTTATTATTTAGTTTCCTTTCACGAAAGTAATCAGTCGTCCGGTGGAATACTAAAAAGAATCATCCGACACAAGATTCATTTAAAGAAGCGTATTTCAGGTACACACCTTGTCCTCAATTATTGCTGATTTTACTGAAACCTAATGTAAACTGTTCCAAAATTTCTTCGAATGTTGTTTTCTGGTGGTCACGTCGTTCGTTGTAGAAAACACGTTCAACCTTTACGTTTTACGTTTATAGTTATCCTTAAGAAGTCTGTAACACTATTTCCGCGTCTAAATAAATCTCTCTCGGCGTTTTCTAAATTTTCGTTTGATCTTGGACCATTTGGTGAGATGTTTTCACTTACATGTAGATAGTATATGTACAGCATTAAGACCCCACACACTGCGAAGGATTCCGAATGTTCAGTAGTCCAAACAAGTATCGGATTAAGTGGTCATATAGGGCACTTTCATTTTCCATCAGTTTAAGGCGTGTTCATTGGCCAATAGCGTCTACTTTTGCAATAATTGGAAATTATGCCCCATTTACATACAAGCACAAAAACTCGATTTCTCCGGCGAACGTGAGGATAGCCCGCTAATGGTAATTATTGAACATCGGTAAAAACGGCCAATAGAAACTGTTCTTGCTGAAGAGGATTTTAATGATCTAATGAATATTCATGAAATAATTACTTCGCTTCTGAAAAGTCCGATTGAGTTGCGAAAAGATTGTTAATATTGCATTTAAATGACGAGAAAGAATTTAGAATGATAGACTACCGTGCATGTATTTATGAAAAGAGATTCCCCCATATGTTTGTAACAAAAAAACCAGTACAGTCGCAACAAATATGGTGTGCCAAATAGTGTTAGAATTTATTATATATTTAATTTAGCTAAGTTTATTTAATTTTCAATATGGATTTAGTTTTCAAAAGCACCGTTTGTGGACATTTGTGACTGATAATAGTTATTTCTTTACAGTTTTATTATATGCTTATTAATTTTAATGATCACATATGATATAAATTATAACTGTATTTCTGATAAGTTTACAGGTGTATTTATTACATTTTTGCACTTTATTTTATAAGTTTGTACTATATGTTTGAATATGTGTGTTCAGACGCGCAACGGTACGTTACGAAAACGAAAAATAATGTTTATGTTAACATATTTGAAACTGAAATAATGTTCATGTTAACATATATGTAACTAAACACTTATTGAACATAATTTTTTCCTTACCTTCTGACGAATAAAATCTGAAAACAAATATGAGCCGCGTCACGACAAAACCAACATAGTGCGTTTGCGACCAGCATGGATCCAGACCAGCCTGCGCATCCATGCAGTCTGATCAGGATCCATGCTGTTCGCTTACCAACTCTATTACAAGTAGAGAAACTGATAGCGAACAGCATGGATCCTGATCAGACTGCGCGGATGCGCAGGCTGGTCTGGATCCATGCTGGTCGCAAACCCATTATGTTGGTTTTGTCATGACGCGGCTCATATATGTAGATGTCAAAAATGTTTGATGTTTTTTTCTTCAAATCTTTGTATAGCCGTTATTTAAAAAGAAGAGAATCAAATTAATTGAGATGACATCAAGTTTTTACATTTTGTACTTATATCTATTTCAATTAAAAAAATTAAGTGAGTTCGTATTTGTTAAAATTTTTTACAATGATCATTAATTTTAATTACTTGACTAATTTAATTTATTCTTTGATATTTTTTCTTTCTAAAATATGGTTAAATATCGTCTGGACTTTAAACTTGATGTACCAATATTAAACAATGTGCTGTTTAATATATATACAAATGCAAAAAAAAAAAAAGAAAAAAAAAAGAAAAAAGAAGACTAAAAAGTTAACCGTTTACCGTTGATATTTTCGTTTAAAAAAACCAACAAAGTGATTAATGAAATAAATTGTTTTGCGCTTAAATTTTGCAATGCATCAGTTAATTTTTCAGTGACACTGTTGTTGCGATCATTGGAAGTTGGTTGGAATCCTCGAGGACTCGCTCGCCGCAAACAAATACAACCGCGAACACTGCGGAAACCTTCCTCTAACATATTTCCATCTAGCACCAAGTAACGGACAGCGGTTTAAGTGCTAGACGCTGTATAACTCTCTAGCACAAACCGGCACCTGAATAGAACCATTGACATGCCGCAAGCTCTCTGGATATATTTATCACATAAAATAAAAAGACACTAGCGCGGCTCGAACCTACAGCGGTGAGAGGCAAGTGGTTTAAACTCAACGTCCTTAATCACTCGGTCACTGACGCCCCCGTCACCAGCACACAGCCAAGCCACCATTCACGTCCGCATCGCCTAATCAGGCGCATTATTGTTAGCAGCCCATTTTTTTTTAAATTTGAAATTGAAATCCCTTTATTTGTATCCCTTTTTATTACATAAAATAAACAATGTTAAAAAATTGATAATTCATGCAATTAAATGTTGAAACAATAATATTACTTTAAAGCATATGTTATTTTTACTGAATATTGACAGATATTTGTCTTTAAATTTTAAATTATTCCCGCAAGATTGTAAGAGCTTTTTGATCTATTTGTGGCATGCATCTTCGCAATTGGCTGCTACGATGTATTTCATAGATGAAAAAAGTCAATATCGCGGAACGAATTAATGGCATTTTAAAAGAGAAGTTGATAGCTAAACATTTGAATTAACTCTGTTATTGTTCATTACTTTAATTCTTATTAGTTAATTACAGAACTTTATCTTAAAATGACGGAAGAATGAAAATGATATAAAGGTTGGTTCAATTAGGGTAAAATTCTTTAATCGCAATTTGATACTCCAATGTATGATTAATTCATTTTATATTAATAAATCAACATCAAAGATTCACGCAAAAAAGGCCCCCGAAAAAACATTAAATGCTGTACATTAACAGGAAAACATGTAAAGAGGATGGTTAAAACCATCTGTTTCGAACGAGTCGTAGAATTACCGGCATGCAATGTTTTAGCAGTAAATGCTATACATTAATTCAAATGGGAAATATGTTCAACAGTTCGCCCATATGCTCAGGTGAAAATTGCCATTCGATTGTTTTTCGCTGACAAACTTTAATTAAAGCGATTGTTACCATGCCTTATGCATAATTCACGGGCTGATTTCATCGGCAATAGTTCACTTATCTCTCAGTTACTGGATTTCTTTGACTTTAATTTGAGAAGAGAACCAGTAAAGACACGTTAACGTCTCATGAAAATTTCATGCGGCAGCCAAATTGGTTTCTTTGAATTACACTTGCGCTCTGTTTGTACACATTTGGTTTATTTCTTGTGGATTAGGGTAAATAAAAAATGGAGCCACTACTTATCATGCGATATTGCATGAATCGGCTTGCGGACCCAAAAAAACGGACAAAAATATACTAGTAGTTGAAGCGGCTCATTCAAGGTTGATTTACATGTACATGTATTATCTAGAACCGTTAAAATTTGTTCATTAATTTTGACTTGAAATTTTTTTTTTCAAACTTTTTCAACTTTTTTGTTATTATAGTATTAAACACATCTCTTACAGGCACAAATGGGTTTTTGTAGAGAAAAAGAAATATTTTTAGAAAAAGAGGAGACTGAAGAGGAGACGACGACGACGACGAAGAAGAAGAAGATCCCCCCAAAAGAAAAAAGAAAATAAACACCAAAAAAAGCCCACAAAACCATGACAACTGTTTCTATTATCACCAGGTATAAAATAAAATAAAGGTCATTTCATATTTCTTTTTTTTTTAGGATTCGTCTATATTTTCTTTCTGCCAAATAGTGCGCCATTAAACAATTTTTGAAATCAGATTCCTTTCGTTTTCACCGTAAAGATTTGCCTATAATTTTTTTGCTGCAAAATAGTGCGCCATTAAACAAAATTTGAAATCGGATTCCTTTCGTTTTCATCGTAAGGACTCGCTTATATTTTTTTGCTGCCAAATAGTGCGCCATTAAACAAAACGTACTGTAAAGTCATTTACATAGAGAGATGTTAGTGCTAATTAAATAAGAGTGTCACGCCATCAGATATAACGAATCAAGATAATGGGAGGGAAAAAAAGTTTAAATTTCTCCAAAATAGTTTGATGACTTAATTTATGTAGAAGACATTGAGTATTGAAAATCCACGTGTTTCGGGTAGAAAGCGTGTTGGATAATATTTTTATTTTATAATCCTTACATTTGAACACTGGTATTTAATTATTTAATAAATCTTTTTTTGTAAGAACGAATTTCCTGCAGCATATAAACCTATCAATTTCAAAAGTGGGTTTATTTACAAACAAAACCGTCTATTTATTAGAAGCATAACGGCCATGAACTTCCAGCGGAAGTGTTTCACTTTGTAAAATCGTTGTCGCAAACATTCTTTTCAGTATATCATGTCTATCAAATTATTACTGATGTCAATCAAAGTAAGAGACATCTTTGTGCGGACGTCTGCTTTCATATACAAATATGACAATTTTACCTATATTCCGTTAACACGAGAACTTCTTTTTTCACTGCTACCATTTGTGCTCTAAAATTATTCACAACCTAATTAATATCACTGAAAAAAAGCGATGCGGTTACGTTTTAACTCATTTTTGTTACAAACTTTCTTCTTTATCGTCCTAAGACACGTAAACTGAAAAAGTACCCGCACTCCTGTCCCCATTTGCTTTTGTTGTGTGTATTTTAACTACTTTACCTGAGTTTGTATAAAATTATTTAGTTTTAGATATAAAGTCTTTTAATACGTCATGAAAATAAATGAAAGTGTTTCTTGTTTATTACAATTCATTTTCTAATACGATTTTTCTTTTCTCTTTTGCCGTGTCTCATATTTTGCGTGTATGAACCGTAAGGTCATTTTGTACGGTAGATTAGATTTTTTCTGTATTTGTCTTCACCTTTGGTCACGGCGAAACTTAAACTTCGTAGAAATATGCATACATTTTAATGCCTGTTAACTTTATTACAAGTTCATTTAATGAACATTTTATTAACAGCGAACGAATGTTGTGAATACGCGATGGTCTACAATTGTCAGGTAGCAATTCACTTTTGATATTTAATTTAATTTTGCAAAGCGGACATATGGAGGTATTGACACTTGCCCTAACAGTATTGTGTCTATAACCCTAAAATCTGTAAAATTCGCCGCGATAAGCCTAATTTGATAAGAATTTGAAGTGGAGATTTGGCTATCTATTTCAAAAGGAGTTTAATTATTTGTTTGCATAGCCATTGTGGTGTAAAATACCCGGGTTTTAAATGTTTAAAAGTGTCGAGGTTGTCACCTGAATACTTCGATATCCATTTATTGGATACCACTCTAAAATATAATGAGCGCCTATAAGGAGTCTGATGACAAAATTTATGGCGTGAAATGAACACGGCGTGATGTTCACAAGTTAATTTTACGAGTTAAAAGTTGACAGTTACTGTCACGATGAGAAAGACGAGCATTTGAACGGATTATATGAAATCAGACACCACTTTAAACATCTTAAGACACCTTTTCGATAAATTGGCGACACGTGCTTTTGGAATTTTGAAGGGAACATTCTGTTTTGATTAAAGAAAGTAAATAATAGCAGATTTTAAAATCCCTTTAAAAACCTGCGAATAAACAACAAACGTGTTTTATTAATAATTGTAATGTAATAGCGAAACAGAATGTTTAAATTGATGATAAGTTTGTATGCAAACAATATTTCATCGTTGTTAATAATGAAAAGATTTAGCCATATGTGAAGTAATAAAGAACCTTCTCAAACAAATGGTGGTTGCCGTTGATGAATATTTCATCAGACCATTGATAAACATGCGACTTTAACTTTACTTCAATTTTAAAATTCATTCGTTCGATTAGTTCAATTAAAACTCAAAATTAAACTATTTTAACCGTGTGTTTAAATTGTGTTTTTATCAAAACTTCGAATTTATTCATTAGTAATTAACTACTTTAAAATGATTATTTTGCAATTTAATACCATTATTTTCCGTTATCTGGTGAGCTTTTACGCAGTCCCAAAGGAAAGCTTCTAAGAATGATTGTGGTGTGAAAGTATCCTGAGCGAGAGTCTTTGAATATGATTGTAAAAAGTTCCGAGACGACCGAGCGCAGTAATTTCTTAATGTACATTGACATTATGAGTTTTCTGTTGAGAAGTCTCCAGTAATTAGACGCAGGAAGCTGTTTCTCTTTATTTTCACTTGTAGGCAATTTAATATTGTTGCCAACAGACAGTATTCAATTAATTAACGCTGATCACCGTTAAGTGATGATTTTAGCCGGGAATTACATCTATTAAGGCAATTGAAAGCTCTCCCTTTGGGAGTTAAGAAAAGTAATTACAATATTATATCGCAGCGTCACGTTATCGCATAAAGCAACACTTTCTGGCCAATTAGTACGCGGACAGTTTACACCTTAACGACACCGCGGCGTAGAAAAGTAGTTCGCTATGTTTACTTGGTGGTCGGGAAACATTGAGAATTAATCGGTAATTGAAATTGGAAAGTGATGCAAAAAGAACAACGGCGGGGATTCAATACTGTAATGAATTTGATAATGGCTAAGTAGTGAACGTAAAAGTGTCAGGTCAGGCGATGTAACAATAAAGCGGGTTCCCCTGATATTGGCGGAAGAAAGGAGATCTCTGTAGACTGATTGCCGTTAGTAAAAGGTCCGATACAGCTTAAATAAAATATAACAACAGTCGTTAAGTAATTTCCCATGATGCCTTGTAAAGTCAAAATGGCGAACGTTCAAAGAAACCGAGGCGTAATTGATTATAAAGATATCAGTTTTTCTTTTAATTAAACTTACATGTAATTTGGCAGTTTGTGTTTCCACGGACAACCACTCTTTTTGCTTTTGTTTTTTTACAGATGACTCTTGAATTTCTATCGTCTGCTACATGGGAATATTGCATGTTACCATTGTCTTTTCATGTTACATTGCATTTTTCATTGTTTGTTCAACTGGCATGCATGACAGAAATGTTGACGAGATAATGTCGGTATTTTCAAAGCAAAGAGGAAAGTTTTCAGAGGAATTTTCAAAAGCCGCCCACAACACTCATATTTCGCATTGAATTCTTTACAATAGAAATAGGGGGGGGGGGCATGTACTAAATGAAAGCTTTTATTTGTTTACATGGTTTCAATCACCGTTATTTCGTTTTTTTTTATCTCTAAAGATAACATGATAATGAAAATTTAATGACGCAAGATTTATTTGGTAACCTCTACTCGTTAAGGAATTGTTTTGAAGGCAATTGCAAACGAACTTTTTTATAGTACATGTAAGGAATATAAAGGTTTGCAAAAATATTTGTATGCAATATAAATAAAATTAATCTATTTTAAATGTCAAGAAATTATAAAATAAATAAATGAAAAAAAATTATTGAAAAATAAATAATGATAAAAAATAAATTATAATAAAAAATAGGAATAAATAAATATAAAATAATTAAAAATAATATTCTTATGGAATTAATAAATAAATAAATAAATAAATAAATAAATAAATGAATGAATGAATGAATGAATGAATGAATGAATGAATGAATAAATAAATAAATAAATAAATAAATAAATAAATAAATAAATAAATGAATGAATGAATGAATGAATGAATGAATGAATGAATGAATGAATGAATGAATGAATTAATATGAACGAATGAATTAATGAATAAATAAATAATTTTTTTATATTTTTATTTTATATTATAAATATATTTAAAACTAATTTTGTTTTCTCAAAGGTGATAAATACTATCATCTAAATAGACCGTGTCTACTGCTTACAATCTATCTATTGAACAATAATTATGATGATGAATATAATGATGACGAACAAATTTCGATGATAATGACAATAAAAATACTGCTTCTGCTACTGTTTCTTCTTTTGCTATTGCTGCTGCTAAGTGCGGTGCTGCTACTTATAATAATGCTGTTATTGCTACTACTACTACTACTACTACTGCTACTACTACTACTGTTGCTGCTACTAAAACTGTTGCTTCTACTGTTAATGCTACTGTTGCTGCTACTACTGTTGCTACTTATACTGCTGCCACTGTTACAACTGCTACTGCTACTGTTACTGCTACTGCTACTTCTACTGCTATTGTTACAACAGCTGCTGCAGTTGCTACTTCTACTGCTACTGTTACTGCTACTTCTACTGTTACTGCTACTTCTACTGTTACTGCTACTGTTAATGATACTGCTACTGCTACTTCTACTGTTACAACAGCTGCTGCAGTTGCTACTTCTACTGCTACTGTTACTGCTACTTCTACTGTTACTTCTACTGTTACTGCTACTTCTACTGTTACTGCTACTGTTAATGCTACTGCTACTGCTACTTCTACTGCTACTGTTACAACAGCTGCTGCAGTTGCTACTTCTACTGCTACTGTTACTGCTACTGCCACTGCTACTTCTATTGCTACTGCTACTTCTACTGTTACCGCTACTGCTACTTCTACTGTTACTGCTACTTCTACTGTTACTTCTACTGTTACTGCTACTTCTACTGCTTAATGCTACTACTACTGTAACTGCTACTTCTACTTCTACTGCTGTTGCTGCTGCTGCTACTACTACTTCTACTGCTACTTCTACTGTTAATGCTAATGCTGCTGCTACTTCTGTTGCTACTACTACTGCTACTATTTCTTCTACATCTTTCTATTATGAAGTTCAACGGCCTAAACGTTCCGGTAAGTCCATTTGAAGACAGCTGCTCGTGACGTCATTTAATGTTCTTTCAGATTAGCGAAAAAGATTTATTCAACAAAAAGCAGTATTTAATTTCATCAAACAAAACACTGAAAAAATATAATCATAACGAAAGAATTTAATTTAATGCTCAACCACAATACAGATTTGAAAAAAAAGAACACGCTTCATCCGGGGTAAAAAAAAATCAAGCGTCCCTGATTTTTCGATTCTTATTGTAAGAGTGGTATATACATCAGTCTAGATTTTAGGGCAGAATAGAAGTTAATTGATCGGACACGTATCGTCTGGGGTTTCTACATTAAACTCATTTACGTACGCCTTGTCAACTTGTAAATGATTCTAATGGCAGTCTTAAATTTAGAAATAGTAACTTCTAATTTGAAAACCTGGAAACATGCCTAATTACGCAGTTAGTTCAGACCAAGAAAAGTCTATCATTTGTTGATATGAACTCGTTGGTTGTTTTTTCTTCTTCACCATCCTTTGTTAAAGTCGCTCTTTAGATTGTAAGTATAGATTAAGTTCTTGGTGATACTTTTCTGTAGAACAAATCATTTGGGTGGGCATACCTTCTTCTGAAAGAAAATGTTCCATTTTGTATATGAATATTAGTTGACGAATTTATATAATTTATCAACGCAAAGTTTTTAATGAGTGAATAAAGTATTTAAAACGTAAAATTTTTAAGAAATAGACAAATTTTTTTCATTATAAATTATTTAAGGAAGAGTGTTTATAATTAATTTTAACGTTGTATTCGCAATTAAATTAAAACATTGTACAACGGTAACTTTGAACAAATGTTATCTATAATTCCCAACATGGTTTTATTTATTTGCATGTATCTTTGGAATTTTGTATTCCTTTTTCGTGACACCTATTTTTAATATCGCCATTAATTCAATGTACTTGTTATTGAATGTGGTTTTGTTGTTTACCATGAAGTAAACAAGCATGGAAAAAATGGGGAAAAGAATAAGAATATTCACTTGGTGTATTAAAATAAAATCTTTTACAAACATATATAGTGACACAATCTATATTCATTAACGCAGCGAGCTACTTTTGGTAATGAGCTGCAGATAACACATTTTAAACGACAAATACCATAAATCTAAGAAATCTGTGACAAGATTACAGTATAAACTATTTAAGAAGTAGCTCTTATGTATAATATAACGCCAAGTATTCGATTAAATTAACACCATTTTTGCAACATCACATGTTAATGTAACACATTACGCTTCGTGTCATCACGTAATATTCCACGACAGGCATTATATTTATTTGCAGTAATCTTTGCATTATGTATTCCTAGTTTTCGTGACAAACCTATTATTTAATTATCGATAATTTCAAATGTATTGTTCGTTAAAAAAAACCTAAAAAGAATCCGTCTAGTAAATCATACAATAAAGTTAAAAGCCAAATTAATACAAAAAAGTCAAATGTCGATAAAAGCAGACGACATGCTTTGTAATATATAACAGAGCAGAACATTCATTTCACTTGTACATCGTGCACATAAATAACACATTTACACAACATTAATATAGTCACACAATCTATATTCATAATTCTGTAAGATATTTTATAATCTTTGTTCTATTGTTTGTAATGTATAAAATCGATTAAAAAACAATATTTCAAATAGTCTGTGAGGCAATAATAACATGAATTATACTAATATTTAATTCGTCATATTTTATAGGGAAAAATACCATTATTTTTTTCAGAATCATTTAAGGCAAGACACTGCCTATGGAAAACATTGCTTTTCGCAGCAATAAAGTCTCATACACGGCTGCATATTCTTGATAAATCGCTGAAACATCTTGGAATAAATTTCTGGCAACTGCTTCGAGAACAATCATATGCCCTTTCATGGCCAAAAACGGTGAAAAACGTGCCATTTGATCTTGCTGTTTCCCCCATATTGTAAGGGAGATAATCATGTATCCGGAAGTAGTAGACTGACAGCTTATTGAAATAGTATCTAATGTTTTGCTAGCGTAACGGTCACGTGATGTCGATTAATGCGCGCGATATTGTAATCTGTAATTGGCCGGAAATGTAATCTTTCAGATTTATTGCGTGTACGCACAGAAGCATGGAAAAATGAGACTTCTCATTTCCCTTGCGATAAATATCGAGGTTCTACGAGTGAAGTGGTATTGATAACATGTTGACCAGTGTCCAGTCAAATATACATCATGTCATGTCCGAGTAATCTTGAGATATGATCCAGCGCGGGGAGGTCGTGGAGGAACAAGTTGAAAGTGAAAAAGTTTTATTTAAAAATAAAAGATATTGGAAGCGTTTTAAATTTATTTAGATTTTTTAAATTTTTTGTTTTCAACCAATCAATACATGTGCAATTAAATCAATAATACACCATCCAGCAACAAATGTAAAGATAAACGATTCAAATGGATCGAGCTACAAGTTATAAATACATTTCGAAAACCCTCTACCGGCCAGTATAAAACCATGTGTTTGAAGAAATTCTCAAAGCAAAACGACTTTAAATATTGATAACTGACACAATGTTCTCTTGGTGCAATAAATGGGCTTGATTTTGTAATTTTGACACGTTGAGATAAGTGTCCAACAAAACGGTTCTTAGTGTCGGTGAAAATATACCAAACAGTGCTTGTGGCGCCGTTCTATGCGCAATGTCGCGCTTGCGGCTAAATGTCGCACCATTGCTTATGTGTCTTATTAATACATGTACATACATACAAAGAATTTGTCCTTTTGCGATAATTATTCAGTAGTATTTGTATATCCTATTAAATAACTAATATGATTTTAAGTTTTATTTTTAAATGGAAATATTTGAATAATAAACTATTATATAACATTTAGTTTGATTTTTTTTCCATTTGTATATATCTGTTTTTGAATTAATATAAATTATAACTTGAATAATTTAAGTAGTGATTACAAGGACGCTTTTAATAATAACTTATTTTATTTGAACTACAAACAGATTATCCGACAAATTAACAAAATACTCTGCAAACTAATTGCAAGTATTACCATACATGTGTAGTTCTAGATAAGAAAAAAAAAGATTAACTGGCCGCCATTACGGGCCTCCAATAATGTTAGATCTTGAATCGTTCCAGAGTCGTAGAGAAAACGGAAATTTTCCGTATATTTAATCACAAAAGGCCAAAGGGCTGCGATGGTGATCGCTCTTTTATTCTCAAACGCTTGTTGAACGTCGCCACAACATGATCCATGTCTTACAAACGCTCCTAAAACAATATGCTTTATTTGTAATCGGTGTAAATTAGGCGAACGCATATTGGGAAACTGGCATATATGTTCTAAATGGTTGGTTTTCAAAATTGGGTGTTTTGAAATAAGGACAGATTTCGTGAGGAAATATATTACGAATTGTATGAATTATGGTTTAACGATCGTATTCATGGGGTTTATTTACGAAAGAAAGCGAGATTTTTTGAAGTCTTGTAATATATGCATGGTTGCGTTTCCAAATTGAAAGGGTTGAATTACTTTTTGCTCGCGTGCTCCATAAATGAATCTGTGACGCTTTGTTTACCCCTTCAAATGGAACGGACGTTTAATAATTGCAAATAGATTCATATATCAGACGCTGAATATTACACTTGTTTTTAAATAATTGAATAGTTCCTAGTGGAAAATTAACATGGAACTATTTTATGAAACGTATATATCATGACGTCTCAACTTATTGATAAAATAAATTCAAAAACTCGGCCCTGCCTCGGTTTTCTGTGCTTCACTTTCTTATTCAAGTTTTCCGAATATTTTATTTCAAAATATTTTAGTGTCAAGTACTCATTTGTCGGGTAATATTTGGGTTGTTTCTTTCTTTGAATATTAAAAGCGTTTGTCACGCTTTTGGGAATTGATTTTAACGTAGGTTTTCAATGAACAAATTCAATTTTGTGTTGTGCTTTAAATGATGCCACCAAGAGGGGGTAAGAGGGGTAAATGGCTTTTAATAAAATTATTGAACTGCAGCAATAAAGTGTTACCTAAAAGGATAAATGTATGTTTACAGCTTTTAATATTTCATCGATTGTTTTATATTAATCCGCTATCGAATCTCATTAATATCTTTGTACAATATGAAAATGAAAAAATGTATATCATCTAGGCAGAAATCACTGACCACCCAAAGCTAGCTGGAACATCGCTTTAAAGAACCCCCATGTCTCTGCCAGGATTCGAACATGCAGAGATTCGATAGGAGCAGCTGTTGCCAATATAATAATTTCATTGATTCTTTTTGACGAAAGTAGATGACAATGCATGTTATTTCTTATTCCTTTAACAATTTGCTCAAAAGTTTTGTTCGAGAAAAGTGCCTGTATTTAAAGCACAGCAATTGACATTTAAATTTGACAACCGTTTTATAAATTTTCAAAAATTGCCTTAAACTGTTTTCTATGATATATGTTTAACTAACTACGTGAATCTTGTGAAGAAAGTCCAGCAACCACGGTGAATATAAAGGCGTAAGAAATGTTAAACCCAACAAGGTCACCTGTAGTATAAATTCAGACAAAGTTGCGATGTTATTTTTGTCTTCAAATCATCACAAAGGTGCCGTGCAAGAAATAAAAATACCAAACGTAAAAATCTAAAATATTGCCACGCAAATCACTGCAGTGCATATACTTTTGATTATAGACATGATTTTGCTAAGCTATGTGAAACATTTGATAAATGTACAAAACCCCCCAAAAACAATGGACACAATATTCATAATATTAAAGAATGAAACGATATAACCCTGTGCATGCTTTAATATCACTTTAATAAATTAAATTGTTTTCTGTAAAAGTTTGTCTTCCAAAGACACTAAACACACCTATCACATTACACAGTTTAATTCGATTTGTTTAGAAAACCGGCACATGGCATCACAACATGGTAGTTTTTATTGGAACCCCGTGCGTATTCTAAATTCGCTATACATTCACTAAAATACCGTAAACCAGACTAGCTAATATGGCGCTTATAAAAACCGGAAATTGTCATATTTCCATGCAATTTAGGTTGACACTCGGATATTACATTCACGGGCTATTGTTCATCCTTCCACAGACTCGAAGTCTATGATGATTCCCGGTAGAGGGCGCCACACGCCGTATTGTCATCTGTGAATATATACAGCTTTTTGGACCAGCAGGATCGCAGTTATATTAAAGTGGCCATAATTGGCGACAACATATTTCAATTTGTTTCGGTGATACTATTTCGTCAGGAATCGCCATGCTGTTTTGATTTATGAATTGCCAATTCATATCATTGTTTATACATTTACATATTTGAGTACAGATCACGTACAATCAATGACATGCCGTGATACGACAAAGTGTGAATGTCGTAAAATCCCAGCAGCAGACGACCCTGCTTGGAATATCATATGGAAAACCATATTGGAGGCAATTATAACGTCTCGGATCTGTTATAATTGTAAAACTGCAAATAATTGTCAGTCCGTGTAACAATATTATGATGAATTGTTACAGAGCTTTTTGATATTTTAACGCCTAATCAAAATGACTGTGAAGGTAAAATGAAAAATAAAATTAAAACAGATTAACTATTCTGTTGAGGTCTCACATATAACTTTAAATTCTAATTTAATGTTTCGGACATGAAATATAATTTTAAGAGAATGAGTTCAAACGCTTGTTATGAATAGATCACCGATTCCAATCTTATCTATCAGTTTTGCTTTTGTTTAATTAATACACGTATTTGGATGCTTCAGTTTTATTGATTTTTAAAAAAAAATTTTTTTTGGCATTTCAATCAGAATTCGACAAGGCAGTTCTTTAAAGCGATCAGTATGTTAATAGATCTAGTTTCACGCTTTTTCATGCTCCGGTCCCCAATGCCAGTTATAAATGGGCGGTTTGATTTGAATGTAAGTTCATTTGTCGGGTTAGCGAACAACATAACGTTTGTTTAGACGCTCACAGCGCCTCCTAGTGGCGAGAAATTAGACAACTCCTATGACCAGAAACGATGCGCAGTTTATGATAAATTTTCGAATATTATCTATTTATAGAAACAGCATGAGGTCGTATATTTCTTGTTGCTCCTGACGGTGTGCAGTGAGCATGAAATGATAAAATTAAAACGATTTGGCGCACCTGTCATTCGCTGATTTGTCTAATGTAAAGGTTTCGTGTTCAAAGTATCCTCTCGTTGGATTTAAACTGTTTTTTCCACCCCACCATTATCATAACAAAACGCTCGAGGAACACCATTAATGGTGCACATTTTCTGTTATTCTATGCACGAATGTCTTTCCCTTTTAGTCCCAAATTCATCCATAACGCTCGCTGAGAAAGTAAGCAAACACTAAAAGTGATAAAATGTATAGATTATAGTGAAAAGATTCTTCAGTATTTTAAAATTCTATGCAAACCTACCTTTTCAGATGTCAGGACTTGAAATTTATTAAAGGGGAAAATGCTAGGATAACATTTGATCTGAAATTTTGGTATATTTTATAGAAACAAATGGACTCCATGCGGTTGCACCTTGTTATTGTCCGATATAAACAATATTGGACAGAATCATATCAATTTAAACATGTTTTCCTTTTCTAGGTCCAGAACATCTATATCAAAATCATAGTGTACTCCATCTAACCTTTTTAACTCGTTTTTTATAATTTTTTTCGAGTAAATAACTCAGTCTGTCGTCGGTGACTTTTGCACAAGTTATCTCTCTTTATATCCGAGGCAAACCCAATGACTAATGTGCATTGACGTAACAACCCTACACGATACGTTTTAAACCGTCTTATTCAACTCATACTCGGGCAGATACATTTTACACCAATTTTCTGGCAGATATATTTTACACCCGCACTCTGACAGATTCAGTTTACACCCACGCATCGACAGTTACCTTTTACAACCATACTCGGATAAATACATTTTACACCGATACTTGGACAGATTTATTTTTCACACATTCCCTTTTTTCATTTTGGAACAGTTTCAGAAATGCAATCTAATTAAGATACGTTTTTTATGGTCAAACATTCAAACTAATGAGAGAAATGGTGAAAACGAATAACATTGTTTCAATTAAAGGGTTAATGTTTTTGAAAGATAATATTCCTCTTTAATTAAATTATAATATCGATGATAATAATAATAATAATAATAATAATAATAATAATAATAATAATAATACATATATTAATAATAATTAATAATAATTATTATAATAATTATTACTAATAATAATAATAATAATAATAATAATAATAATAATAATAATAATATAATTATAACAACAACAACAACAACAACAACAACAACAACAACAACAACAACAACAACAACAACAACAACAACAACAACAACAACAACAACAACAACAACAACAACAACAACAACATTAACAACAACAACAACATAACAATAACAATAACAATAACAACAAAAACAACAACAATAACAATAAAAATACAAATAATAATAATAATAATAATAATAATAATAATAATAATAATAATAATAATAATAATAATAATAATAATAATAATGATAATAATAATGATAATAATGATATACGCGGCTAGACAATCTTTATACTTTATTTCTTTTAAATGAAATAGATTGAACTTAATACAATGTATGTTTCCCTCTTGAAATTCGGTAGTGAACCGAGGTTGGTTTCCGGTAATTTAAAAGCTTAAAGTTACCGTAAGATCTTACACGTGAATGTTAAACAAAATACCCGAAACTGATCTTAAAGATAACGAACGGAAACATTTAATCTTAAATCGCAACAATCTTGCGTGTGATGATAAAAGGGAGATTACTACGACAGTAGACTCCGCGTTAAAGTGTATCAAAGTGTCGCCCCCGGCGTTTGTGATGAATGACGTATTTTGTATAGAACGTTGGATGCAGTTTAGTTTTTTCCTTCGTTATGTAAAATAGACATCAATAACATACATGAGATGTGCAATAACATGGAATTTCTTATTATAATGTAAGTGTTTTCTTGACATGTATTTTAAAATTATTTTTATTATTGTTTATAACGTTTGTTTCGGTTTGTTTATTTTATAAACATAAAAATATTTTTAAAAAATATTTGATGTATGATTTTACAACCAAGAAAGAGTCAGCATGTTAACAATAGTTTTTTAAACGTATTAATAAGTTGTTTTGTTTGAAAATAGTATAATAGCTGAATTAATGTTTTAAAACCCTACTGTTATTTAGGAAAATATTATGCATCACAACACATTTTTACCGTTCATTTTACATAACCATTTATACTTGATTTACGATCTACGGAAAAAACGACCAATGTTCCGTGCACGTGTTATATTTATGTAAACATTCGATTGATGAGACCACGTGACAACGTAAGTCAGGCACACACTATACTGATAAAAACAAATTATATAATAAAAACAAAATTATTTGCATTCAAATTAGGATTAAAGGAACTCCACTGACATCCGAAGGCATAAAAACTAAAATTTGAAAAAAAAATCTTACAATTATTAAGTAAAGCGCTTTAAATGGCAAAGTCTGTGAAGAAATATACTCAGAATTTAATTTAATATCGATTTGTGTGCGATTCTTAGCCGACTTATAACGCTGTAACGTTTTTTTATTTTTGAGTCATTTTGCAGAATGTAAATGATTATTCTGGAAAAAACGGAATGAGGGACATATCTTATCTTTTTTGTTATAACCAAAAGTTATTGGTCCAGGCCTTCATCAGGTAGTACACAAATCGGGGAAAAATATTTCCAGTCCCATTATGTCGAAAAAAATCGCAGTGGAGTCCCTTTAACGTTCATATTTTTTATGCAATATTAGCAGAAAATGATTGAATTAAGGTAGAAATGGCTCAATGACTATATTAATGTTGCGTTAACACTTGGTTAAAATATACAAAGCTGTATTGACCTTTTTATAATTTAGTGGAATAGTTTTCTTTTGTATCTTGATTAAAATCATACCACAATAGAAAAAAAATACCGTAAAGTTTCTTAACAGAAATTTATTTAATTTTAGTAAACTTATCAGGAAATCCGCATACACCTTTTAATCCCCCCTTTCGCGATATGTTGTGCGTAAATTTTTAATTCGTATACATACACAGTAAAGTGACTAATGATTTGTTATGTATTTTGAGAAAGAAGACAAAGTTAACTGTGGAGTTCCATAACTGTTATTCTTTTTATTTTCAGTAAGTTGGTTCTTGGGCTGATTACCATTACAAACAGTCATAAATCATATTTGAAGCGAATTCCGAATGGAGATTACGTGCCGAATCCGTGTCACCCAGGGGAATTATGGGAAGGGGTGGGACATCTTAAACCTGAAGGTTATGGGAAGAGGAACCAATTCGGCCATGATTTTAAAAAGCATGGAAAGGTATAATAAATTACAATTTGTCACAAAAAGAAACAAACCAATAATCCCAGTGCTGTACAAACGAACCAATACATCCTTTGAATTATTGTATTGAAAATTGCTGTACACTTGTTATCTTTCTTTACTAAACAGTGCTGAGCTGACGAAAGGAAACATTCGTTATCTTTCTTTACCCTAACGACCCAATACATTCGTTATCTTTCTTTACTGAACATTGCTGTACTAACTAGCCAATACATTCCTTATCTTTCTTTATTAAACGGTGCTGTACTTACGAGCCAAAGCAAACGTTATCTTTTTTACTGATCGTGAACAGTGCTGTACTTTAGACATCAATACATGTTTTTAAGCATTGATTCTGCCGTGGTAAATCTTATAATGCTTAATCGATTTTGTTTACAAAATACTAAAGCTGTATATAAAATACCGGTCCACTGTTTGGGGATTACATGATACGTGCAGATGTTGACATGTTAATTGTATCATTTACTCTGATTGTTTAACCTTCTACTGACCTGTCCGATGTAATAAAATAGATGTAAACAAAAGTATCTTACAGTGAAAGCTCGAGGCTAAGGTTAATTGGCAACATCTTGAACGTCCCACTCATTTGACTAATGCACTTATCTAAGAAAAGAAATATTTTAAATAAATTGAGACATCATTAAAGGTACATGATACCTCAGAAATTCAATTTTTTTGAAATTTCTATTGAAATGTCAAAAATGGGTTTAATAATGTTTTATTTTAATAATGGATTTAAATGTCAGATGTTATATAACCCTGAACATACGTGTAGTTATATGTTGTAAAGGTAGCAAAATGTAAACAAAGCAGTATTTTGATTTCTATACAAAATACTGATTCACTTATAAAAAATACTGATTCACTTGAATCAACAGAGAAAAAAGTAGCAAAGATAGTTCACAACTATAGCTTATATTTTTGTGGAAACTGTAACGGATACCAAAAATAGTTTTTGAGAAATTAAAATTGATAGCATTTTTGAGGTAAAATGGGCCTTTTAGACAATTCTTTTTCTGTTTCGTTAAATTAAATTACAAATTTGTTAATTTCATACGAGCGTGAAAAATAGTAAATTAAACATTACATTTATAACGAACCGACATGGATAAAGGGAAATAATCCGTTCATTAAATAATTCTTTTTTTTAAATGCATTAACGCTCTTATTTGTCTCTTATTGTCATTTGAAATATTTCCTGTTTCGAGTTGGATTTTAAATCTAAATTCCACGTACGCTTTTTAAATATGCATTCCATAATAAATTCTTGATGCCCTTGCCATCCAATCTTAATTATATTGTCCATTGTTTTATAGAAATGGTCACGTGATTTTTGTTTGTTGGACTCGGACGGAGACGGTCGGACAAACGGTGAAGAGCTCGGTGACCCGGACTGCCGATGGCACCACGGTGTTGGGATGAATGCTACATCAGAAAATATAACACATCCAGGTTAGTGGTATAACGTAATGCCTTGTAATAGAGTGTATATTTTGAGATTATTATCTACAACGTTGATTACATATATAGGCTATTCAAATGTGATAAAGTCCAATAGAACTCAAAAATAACTTTTTATTCCACACGACCAATTCTAAGCAGAAAACATAATTACATTAGCCAAAAACTCTAAAAAAATCCACATATTTTTTTGTATTCTGTTAAAGTTAAAAGTAGAGTCACTTATAGTAAAGTATGGCTCTTTTGGACTCTGTAATTAAGAATTAGGCTAAATGGCGTACGATATAGATTTTTATAATATGATTTTTTTTTGGACTCGGAAAATGAAAACGACCCTAAATTGATAAAGTTGGACACAATAATCATAGGTTCTTTTACATTGAACTGTACAATGCGGAAATATATTTTGACGAGCACACAGCTAGTGAAACCATATTGGACGAGCCGCCAATTATGTTAATTTGATTTCTTACACTGTGTACGAGTTCAAAGATATTCCCATATTGTACCTGTTAAACGTTTTATAACCTGTTTATTCTAGATCTAAATTATATGGTGGAAATGCAAGATGTGACCTAATACTCGTATTATTATGGTGTCGTTTTAGCAAGACGGTTTAAATTCTTTTATCATTAACGAAAATGTCAGACCACTCAGTTGCCCAAATACAGGATAACTATATTGGATGCTACAGCGTCCAATATGGATATGTGTATTGGATGGTCACGTGGTACAATTTTAATGCAGCGATTGAATGTTAATACTTGATATAGAATTATGACCTATGTTTAAATATGCTGGAAGCTCTTTAGTTATATTTTATAAAGTGTGAATTAAGATAATTTATTGGATTGTTCTTATTTTTTATTTCTTTCAATTTTGGTCAATTTTACTCACGAAAACATTTTGCAATATTCCCCAGGGGCGACTAATCTATATAGGCTTATTAAATGTAATGTTCTAGTTATCTCCCCTGATAAAATCAATGCTGATGAAAAATTACATCGGTATAATAATAATAAAAAAATAACATAGGTCTCTCACGAGTATTTTTCAATATTCGGGTTACTAATACGCACTCTTATCCTGAGAGACATGTGCTCTTTTTATCTTGTACGTTTCTGCGGAAAAAAATGATCAATATTTGCAAAAAATAGCATTTTCACGAAAAAGATACGAAAATTGTAAACAATCTCTTTCTTTTAAAAATGTAAATAATGCAAGATCAACTGCAATTCAAACTTGAAGCATATACTCAGTCAGTATTATAATGATTCCGTTTCTTTGTTAATCATTATTGTAATAAAGAAAGACAATGATTTAAGTCAAGATGTAAGTGAAAATCATTAAAATCTTAATATTTCAGGTATTTGCGAGCCTTTAACTTCAAAACATTGTAAATCAATTAACAAATGGCTTAAATGCGACAGGACCGAATTCAAGTGTGACGTCATCAATGACCAAGGTAATCGTAGATTCTGAACATTTTCTTTTGTATTATTTGTTTGTTGATACAAGACAAATTAAGGCCCTCTCACTTGAGTGTCAGTCGGGCTCAAGGAACCGTTTTCATATTTTATTTTCTGAGGTAGCTTTTGCTAACAAAATGTATAATTAAGAGTTGGATTCATTGAATCACATTACCTTTACATAAAGCTATACACGAATTGTTTTATACCCATACTTTTCACACCGACAATATAACGGTTATATGGAGATTTTCCAGCTAATCTTGCGGGGAAGACCTCAGGTTTTCTCCAACAAACACTAATTTAGGAACAAGACAGCACCTGGGTAACACCTCCGACTTGCCAAAAACTAGCCACATAGCCACCTCACATTGAAGAATCAAATGTTATTGTTCCTGGCGGGAAAACAGCAGTAGCAGCAGCAACAACAACAAGGGGGTGGGGTATAAATGATGACAAATACCAATCTAGTAAACAAAATATGCTGTGTACTATCAGCACACTAGGAAACTATATTCTACTATTCTACCATTCTTACTTATTCATAAAAAACATTTCGTGTTTTTAATTTCAGCTACGAAAAACTTTACCATCACTATTCCTAAAATGAAGATTCCCGTACAGACAACGACTCACAAATGCATGGTGTTTGATTTCCCCCAGGATGGAGATTTTCACATGGTTGCGACAACCCCGCACGTTGACAACAAAATGGTCTTGCACCATGTTTTGATTTATGGCTGCGATGAAAACAGTAAGTTTTAAGGCGACGCTGAATATATGGAACGCCGAATATGTCAGTATTTTTAAATCCTTTAATTGTTGATTCGCACTTTCATGGATTTCGTTTTAAGTTTGCAAAGATTGAGATACCAGCATTATAGAGCCTGATCAGACTGCACGAACATGCAGGTTTGTGCATGTCTGGCTCTACACAGGTGGCAAATTCTCGAGGGAAATACAATTTTACACAATCAATTTGAGCGATACAAACCCGACTGAATAGCACTTTAATTTAATATTCCAAACTCACTAGTTTTATGCCTTTTATAATAACGTTATTTCATATTCCTTGCTGATAAAACTTGTTCTTTTTACTTATTCTATACTTTTTACAGTAGCGTTCTTTTATAGTCCTTGTTGATGAAACTTGTCGCTAAAAAGAACTTGCCTTATCATTATGGTTTCGGATCATATTTCCCTCATTCATACAATATTCTCCCATATATCCCTTCAGCAATCACAAGTTATATAATCACAATTTAAAATAGCGGTGATTAAAACAATATAAGCACCCTTGATGATTTCATATAATGAAGTTTGATACTTTTTGGCTTGATTTTTTTAAACACTGATATTTCTACCCTTGTTTTCAGAACAGCCAAGACATGCTGTGAACGAAGTGTATGACTGCAATCTAGCATTTGATCCGGCTTGTACGGATCTACTTTCAGTGTGGTTGCTTGGAATACCTGGGGAATGTATGCACGAAAAAATGGGATTTAGAATCGGGAAATTCGGATATAAAAGGGGTGGAATACAAGTATGAACACATTTTGTTTTACATACTGTATAAATAATCTGCATATTTTTCGTTTCAGTTTCATATTATTTTGAAGTTCATGCGTATTGATGAGATTCGAATAATTGTCAACAAAATAGGGTACACTTTTAGTTTTATCATACGAATATCCCTTTTTCGATTGATGCAAAATTTTAGTATAATACGATAACAAGTCACAAGAATATTACAGTAATCTTTAAATATCAATAAAGTTTTGAAGTTTATTCCTATTTGATTCATATAGGTACATTGGGAAAACCAGCAGCTCCTCCCAAATCTATTTGACGGCTCAGGCATGACGTTGTACTACACCGATCAACTGCGCATGCACGACGCCGGTGTGCTATTTATAGGACAAGATCACATGGTCATACCTCCCGGCAAGAAGAGTCATACGGAAGTCGGCCATTGTTATAAGGAATGTTCAGAGAGGAAATGGGCGGGAGATTTACACGTAACAGTTGCAATCAATCATATGCACTATTTAGGTATACTGTTTGAATTCATTTGAATTAATTAAAAAAAAATTCAATAGAGCTTTTAAAATGTTAACGATTTTCTGATAAGGCTTAAATCATACCGGAAATGCAGTGTTATATTATTTGATAAAATTTACTCGTATCAGAGACCGTGTAAAATCTTAATATATTCCTACACAAAACTGCGAAAGTCTGACAATACAATGTATTGTCTTGTTATTATAGGCCGTAGACAGACGATTGAACATTTAAGAAATGGTGACGTCATTAATGTCATCACAGACGAGCAACATTATGATTTTGATAGTCCAGAGCTTCACGTGTAAGTAGATGTTGTCTTGTAACTCTTGTTAGTAACCTTGACATCATTTTTGACGTTAACTTGCACTCATAATTTAAATTCTTTTCCCAGTATTTCCTTATTAAACAAATATTTAGCTCTTCACTTCGTTGTCACACAATATGTTCACAGAGTTTTGAATGGAGCTCTGACACGTCATACGACGTCAGTTTATATATTTTTTTTCATTTTTCATCGGTTATTTGATATGTGTATTTTTTTCTAACACAATCCGTATAGATTTCTATATTTATATCATGAGAACTTCATTTTTGTATCCGAACGTCGTGGTTGAATACCAATAAATTCTTTAATCAAACACATGGTACCTTTCAAGATAACTAAAATGGATAGTTTCAGATATTATCATATAGAGCTATTTCTCAAAGGTTTCACTTGTCAACTTCACCACTGTCAACCTTGAATATTTATTTTACATGTGAAAACTTTATCAGCTTCATTTCCGTTAAGGTATGTAAATGTTTTCTTAAATCTTAAAGTTTTCAGGAACCGGTGACCATCAAACCTTCAGACGAACTTCGTACTACATGCGTTTACGACTCGAGCTCGCGTGACGTCACAACTAGAGCCGGATCTGGGTACCAGGATGAAATGTGTTTCGGATTCCTCACTTATTTTCCTAAGCAAGCAATAAATAACGGGGCAACAATCTGCACTTCCTGGAAAACATTACCTCACTGTAGATTTGAATTAGGTGAGTACAATATATCAATATACGAGATAAGCTGAGTTTGACACTTGTATTTTTCGGGAACGAGTAAACAAGCTATGTTTATAAATTTTTATTATTTGAGTATTTTGTTTACTCATCTGAAGGCAAACCGTTTTAAAGCGAGACTGAATTATGAAACAATAAAATAATACAACGTGAGAAGTTATTTTATGTAAATAAAATTTAGAGGATGATCTCATTATGATCTAATTATGATCTAATTACATTAAACAGCTTGCTGAACGTCGGTGGTTCTACTCACGTGCCAGAAATAATGTGCGAAAAGGAAACCGAGGTCTGCCTTCGCCAGTAAAGTTGGAAGGTCGCCACGTGTATGAAGCTACATATCTGCAGCATAAGTTGTATTTGAATTTTGAAAAAGAACACTTTCAAAATACCTTCATGAAAAATATGTATGTTTCTAAAAAAGAATGGCGCACGTTCGAAATCAATGTTGAACAGTTAAAATGCTACCTAAGTGTAACTGTGACTTTAAACCGCAAACAAACAATCTAAATAAACATATGTTTATGTAAATCATTCAAATGACTCATTTTCTTTTCTTTTCTTGGCAGACGATAAAGTTTACGAATGTGATTTCAAAAATGTACGGAATATGTCACATCCGGGGACGAAGGAAATATTTGATAAAGTTATGAAACACTGTAGACCATTTGGACCATGTTATAAAGATTGCCTTGCCGTTGTCAAGGAAATATCAAAACTACCTTGTTACCATGGTGACATGTGGGACTGGCAGCGTAACAAGATTAGCGGACCTTTTGATTATAAACCGGAAACAGCCGAGTGGTACCGATTTTATTCAGCGTTTGATTCATGTTCGCAGGAGTTAAATGCTTGTGGAAACCAGTCTGATATTTTATTTCATGAAGTTAATGGTGGCATTAAACAATCAGAGTTTTATGTATCTTTAACATTGACTTTATCAATGTTATTTACTAAGTCAATTAATTTATGATGAATATAGTGATTTTTTCATTTAAATGGCATTTCAAGTTAAAGGTTGCTTAGCAGGTTTTCTGTAAGAATTTTGAAAATGGAGGTAAAATCTTTTGGTTTTATTTCTTGATAATATATAATAATCCTCTCAGTGCGAGAATTGTAATGAAATTGTCCGGATTAAGTTGATACCGAAGACATATGAGCCGTGTCACGACAAAACCAACATAATGGGTTTGCGACCAGCATGGATCAAGACCAGCCTGCGCATCCGCGCAGTCTGATCAGGATCCATGCTGTTCGCTTACAAACCCTTTAACAAGTATAGAAACTGATAGCAAACAGCATGGATCCTGATCAGACTTCGCGGATGCGCAGACTGGTCTAGATCCATGCTGGTCGCAAACGCACTATGTTGGTTATGTCGTGACACGGCTCATATTTGGTATGAACATACTTGTTGCTTTCTCTTAAAAACGTTAAAATACAACAATACAATAATGCAAATCAGTCGTGGATAAAGGATTTTTTTCAGAGTTGATAGCAAATTTCGACAAATGGGAATGCTTATTCCAATAGGGCTTGACTTTTATATATCTAAATTTTTAAAAAAGATCATCAATATTTTTTTTGTGCTAATTTTCACTATTTTTGTGGGATTTTCGCTAAAAACAAACAAAACATATAAGTTGTTGTCAATCTCAGAGGGGTTCCACATTCTAGTCAAATCCCGGGGGAATGAAGGTAGCGAGGGAGGGCGGGGAGGGTCAAAACCCCTTTTAGACAACTCTGGTTCCGCGCATGCAAAACAAGAGGGTGTATGTAGATCTCACTGCACTTGTATATGACGTAAGTTTCTATAAATAACATACTAAAAATAAATCTTAACTGTAATGAATTTTGATTGTGATAAAAATGGAAGGAATTGTGTTTGTTGGTTTTCTTTTATTTTTTTCATTATTTTTCCATTTAAAATTTATCATTTTGAACCGATTATAAAATAATATTCCCTTATCCACATGCAAAATTGTTTCTCTTAAATCAGAAACTTCGCCATTACTATCACATTGTGTAATTAAATTCTGGTCCAAGTAGTTCAGTTAATCGTTCATTGTAGGGTCTATAAAATTCTGTAAGAATTCGTCGAGTTTCCGGCAACATGTCACCAAGAAGTTTGTCTCCCCCTGACCTTGTATTGGCCGGGCTGCTTGTCGTTATATTTTTGTTTAACTCAGGGTCCGCAACTCTGCCTGAAAAAAGTTAGGAACACTTGTAACCATGACAAGTTTAAGTTTTTTTAACTTGTAATGGATAACTGTGTCTGATATGATAACTCTGTGACAAAAATGATTATTATGCAAGTGCAAGATTTTAAGCTGCCCGCCTTAAGATGAGCCAAAATATTTCAAGAAAACTTGATAAAAGTGTTTAAGAAAAATAAAAAAGATTCAAGATTCAAGTAGTTATTTCTATGTCATGTGCAATTATTGACTGATGACTGATTTCACAGTATTTATCACCATATTTGTGTACTGCATGACTAACGCACTTAGGGCTATTTATGCATATTTTGACCTCATTTTGGTAATTTACATGCATTTAAAGTGCAGTTTGCAATATGTCAATTCTTTGTTCACTTCAAAACAGTGTGCTTTTAAATACATTTTCAAAATTTCCATGAAAATTAGCATTAATCTGGAGGCATGTCTTAATCCAAAGACAATTTTGACAGAAACAGAGCCTGCCAGTTCTTATGCCATGGTCTTTCCTTATTATATTTTCCCAATGTTGCTGGGCATATGACTAAAAACCAACTGAACAAACATAGGTTTGCTCATTGTTTGATTTTTTTTTATACAGATCAGAGAAAATACATTCGACTTTTTGTTTATGAAATGAAGAAAAGGGTAATAATAACAATAACAACAATAATAAAATGAGAATAAGAACAATATATACCTACCCACGTCAAGAAAAGAGAAAATTTTATTCATAGTTTGGTTGATGTGGTATGAGTAATTTTCAAGTTTTATGATCAAAATTTGTTGTCGACCAAAAACCTTTATAAAGTCTTCCAGAAAAACATGGTATACCCCAACTTGTAATCGAACCTGTAATAAAAGAAATGTCTTAGTGAGATTGCTCTTCCACTTTAATTTGACGCATGCGCACTTCTTAGGTGAAAATGAATAGTTGATAGTCGCTTCTTCAACACCTTCATTGTAGCTTGATTGCAATTAATAATAATAAGTAATATTTGCCACTTAATCATTGGAATCATTTGGTTTCATTTAAGGAAACATGACATTGATCGCGACCTTCATACTGCGTGAATTCACACTTCCGGTTTTAAGGGATAAACCAAAATGAGCTATAACTACCTTCTACTACTGTTGTGTCACATAGCGACACATTAAAGATTATACTAATCATCACGTTTTTCTATCTCACTGGAATATAGTAATACGTGCATAATTTTTTGTTCAAAGTGTCGTATTTATCAGGTTTGCTATCTTATGAAAATGTGTAACCTGTATTATAGAGAACAAAAGTGGAAAACTTGTATTAAAGAGAAAAACGTGGTGTCCTTTTCATAGAAAAAATCAAAAGGGATAACTTGTGTAAAGAGAATAAAATAGGTTTACTTGTATTGAGGAGCAAAATAGGTATAATTTATGGTGGCTGATATGGTGGCTTTATGGTGTCATGTCGTATTTTCGCTCCGCCAGACGCCAAATGAAATCATAAAAACACGAAAATACAAAAAAGTGATCACTTTATCGTACTTTTGCTACGCTGGGTTCCAGGCGAAAACACGAAAATACGACAATATGACCACTTTGGTATCCTTTCGCTGTCCTGGGCGCAATGCGGAAAAAATACGACAAAGTGGCGTCCCGCGGAGCGAAATAACGACATGGCATAAATCAGTCACCTTAGTAATTTGAACTACAGAAAAATACACCAATGTGCACTTGTATTAAAAAGAACAAATTAAAAAGGTTTCCTTAAATACAAAATACAACTATTACCATTTCAGCCTTTCTGTGCGATGAATTAATTGGCCGACTGTAAATGCAAGTTCGTAAAGTATCAGTTTGTAGACACGCTGACATGTTACTTACGGAGTTAACAACACGTTTATGGAACTCCGTTGGATTGTTATCAGCACCGTTGAAAAACAAATACTCGGAATATACTCTGAAAATATACATAATTTTTCTTTAAAATAAGGTTAACCATTGCCTCCCACATCCCCCAAAAATTGGTTAAGAATCAAACAGATTTTTATCTGAAAATCAGCATCATAAAAATGCTGAATGAAAATGCTGCACTGAAGAATATGAAAAAAAATCAATAAAAGCACAAATTAACTACAGTTGCCTTGTAGAAGGAGTACCATTTTTAGTAAGTACCCTGTACTAAATAAGCAAATGATAAATGTGAAATAATGATCATGTAATGCTCCCTTTGTGGCTGAAGGAATCTCTTTGAGAATTGATGCATTAGAATTGCAGCCACCGGTTATCCTCCCAGCGTGATTGTAAGAGGCGACTAAATCGGTTCAATTTACTGGAGTCTATCCCCAGCAGGTGAGACCCTGGTGTTGTTTCAAATTTGTAAAATCATCTTTTCTGTTCCGGCGTCATATGACCTAAATCGTGATGGTGCGCCGTAAAGCCAAACAAAAACAAAGACCATACAATGCTCTCAGGACTAACTAATTATTCGACATTTGTCTTAATAATATACAGAATCTGTGAATATACAATAGTTATAATACCTTTCAACAGGATTTCGTAAAATGACGATGATTTTAGAGTTTGGGTTTAGATGTTTTATTATTTCGGCGTTAGAGAGCGGCTCTACTGTCTTGTTGTCCCGCTTTGCTTGTAAAATCATGTGACGGTTATTCCAGCTTATTGACGGCGTGCAGTCCCCTGTCATCAAAATTATTCTCTTTAGTATTCAAATATCTCTAGCAAAAAAGTGTAATAAAATGGTTAAACTGTAAAAGCAACTCAAACTCTGTATCTTTTCAATAACAAAATGATAAATTTATTTGAAGCAATTAAGTTTTTCTAGAAAGGACATGCACATATATTAGTACTAAATAGTTTTAACATTAATTTATTGGCAGTGTGGGCGGGTGGTTAATACGCCAAACTAGTAATCAAAGGATTCCTGGCCGTGTGGGTTCGGACCTAGTCAGGGGCAAGTCGTTGTTTCCTTGAGCAAGAAACTTTACATTCATTGCTTAGTACTGGTTGGTTCCAGGAACGGATTCGAGAGTGTTTTAATAAGCTTATAATATAAATAGCTATAAAAAGGTTCCGACAAAGTCGAACTATAAATTATGTAAAAGACTAAACTAAAACTTAATAAATATCAATAAAAGGAGAAAGAAATAAAAGAAATCAAAGATTTATACTTACCAAATATAACGTTATGAAAACCATCTTGATTTCTTTTCCGTCTTATATCAGTTTCAACAGCATAGTCAAAAAGTCTGAGGTAATTTGAAAGTTCCCGGAATTTACCTAAAATGTTTTATACACTGGACAAATTATTCTCTTACGAAATTGTTTATCATAAATAAGTTTTAATTTCAGATTCATGTCTTTTAAAGAATTAAAAAAGAAACGAGATGGAAAAATATAATATTGCTACTTTTTAAAATTCCTGTTTTATAATTTGCTACATTTCCCTGCATCACTTTTATCAATATTAAAATATATGTAAATTTGTAATAGAAATGCATTTTACTTCATCATTGTATCATGATTATCGAATCTAAATGACGTAAACCAATGATTCCCCTCATCACTTTGCCCGATATTAGAGGATTTGTGACAGAAATGCATTTCATTTCATTCTTGATATCATAAGTACCGAATCTGAATGACGTTAAATTGGTTTCCCATCATTATTTTGGAAACCATCATTATTTTGTTAAGGGAAACAAGATAGAATGTACTTTGTTTTATCGTTGTATCATGATTACCGAATCTATGACGTTACTTTGGTTTCCTATCATTGTTTTGTTAAAGGATTTCTGATAGAATGCATTTTATTTCATCATTGTATCATGATTACCGAATCTAAATGACGTCAACCAATGGTTCCCCTTCATCACTTTGTTCGATATTGAAGGATGCATCATAATCCTACGACAGAGGTCAGTGGTTCCGCATTTAGGAACGCCAATGACGTAATAATAAGGTAGACAGTGTAACTTCTTCCCGAGCTCCGGCGCGGCTTCATACCAACATGGGTTCTTGTAGTTCTGTGAAAATGGTAGTTTTTCCTGCCAGAAATATAATACACTGATTAGATCGTAGTCACATCCGTTAACCTGTCTATACCAACATCTGTTTACGTGCATATAACGTATGTGCACTTTACTGCATCACTTTAAACATGAAGGAACTACAGATATTTGAAATTAACTAACTTTATAATTATTTGTAAAAAATAAAAGAACTTGTAATTCTTTTTTATCACATAATATTCCTTATTTAATGCTACTTGCAAATATTATTCAACGGTCATCGTGTCACATAACCAACAATAGCCCAATGTAGTCTACTAGTATTTCAACTGACTTATTCCATAAAGAATTCAATGCTCATTCAGTAAACTCGTATCTAATAAGAAAAAAGGAAAACAACTAGTTAGTTTTAGTCAAACCGTCAGCTCTGGCGTAGTGTCTACTCTTTTAAACACAGATGTCTTTTGTTTTTCATTCCCAACCAAAGAAGCACCTGCAAAGGTAACAACATATCTAATTGACCTATACTACCCTAAATTGACTTGTCCATCTATCAAACTAAACAAGACCATTCATTATCATATGGGAAATTACGAAATATGATATGACTGAAAACTGAACAGAGCAGACTATAATTAGATGACACAGACCCATAGACGTTGCTACACATGCTCAGCCAAAGAATCACGTTTTACAGTGAGACTTTAACTTTTTTACATTAGTCATTATCTATATAATTTTGTTTCTAACATACATTGATTGTCATTCACTTTGGTTAGGTAGGGGAGATAATAGCTACACATTTAATTGTTCAAGTATTTTTCTGAAATTCGTAAATTAGATTTAATTATCTAATAATATATTATTTCTATTTTGAAGCTAAAATATCCTTAAAAATTGCCAACAAGTAAGAAAAAAGTACTATATATATTATACGTACTTGCAGAAAATAAGAGTGTGTCAACAATATAAAACAGCCCAAGACATGTTGATGTGAGAAATATGAACAGCAAATCTTTGCTTTTCGTCATGTCAATGCCCTTAAAAGAAAAATACATCTATAAGAGTAATGACAATGGGACTTTGATATTGATCTTATCTATTATAGAGCAGACTTGTCATTAAAAAGTACGGTCTTCCTGACCAAATAAATTTTGACCGGAACAATAAAAAATTGCCGGATCAATTACAAAATAACTTTTTTCCTAACATGCTTCATATTGGAAAAGGTGATTGTGAAGTCCAATTGCTTTTTAATGTGTTCACCATAGTCTGTATACGTTGTGAAGTGCTGTCTTGTCAGTGAACATTTAGGTCAGTCTGTTCATTTAATGCTGTCCGGTTATGTACTCTATACAGCCATGCCAGCTGTTACATGCATGCTACATGGTAAATATAGACTCGGGACAACTTGCAAATACATTATAATGTAGTCAGAATCTTTACTCTTTGGTGCTTGTTTGGTAATGAGGTTCCCGGAATAAGCAAATCAGTTGGAAGACATTATACAAGGCAAAAAATTCATTTCCATTTTGGATGGGATAGACCATAACAACACATGCTTGGTTTTAGTATTAAAAAAGCAACGTATAAATGCGCTATGCACATATTATTAAATCATTACCTATAAATGAAATGCTAATTTACTAATAAGATGAAATTTGTTTTATTAAATAGTAAAAGATTAATGACATAAAATGATAACTGATGAATGAAATGATAACTGATACATGAAGTGCTAAATGAATTACAAATTGATAGTTCCTTAATGGAATGATTACTGATACATGAAATGATAACTGTATGACGAAATGATAACTGTATGACAGAATGATTACTGATTAATGAAATGACAACTGATTAATGAAACATGTTTTATCAATGAAATGATAACTCATTAATGAAATGATAACAGACTGATAAATTGATTACTAATTATTGAAATGATATCTTAATGACAGTATGATTATTGATTAATGAAATGACTTATTAACTTATTAAGGATAACTGAAAGACGATATGAAAAATGTTGTTTAAATGAAATGATAACCGATTACTTTAATGATAACTAAATGATGAACTGACAACCTGTGAAAGAGATGAGAATTGATAAATGAAATATTAATTTGTCAATTAAATAGTAATTGATAAACGACAAAACAACCTATTAATAAAATGCCAACAGATCATTGAAAAAGTAAATGATTAATGAATCACTCGTAATTACAATATTGCACTAAATGAAAGAATAATGAATAAATCATAAATGATACACTTACCGTCTATGTAGTTATTATTCCCATCATTTTCATGTATATAAAACTGTTGCTTATAAAACGAATCTACATTTTAAAAAAAAATCCATTTTTTATGAAACACAGTCTCATAACTTTTTATGAAATTTAACAACTTTTTCTTTATTTATATAGCCACGAAATATTAATTACAAAAATTCAAATATAAGGACAAAAGAATATATTAACTTAACCAAGTTTCTTTTCAAGCACAAAAAAATCGAATTCACTTGTAACACGTTTTCATACAAGCGGTCTCAAACTGTCTGTGTCTTGTTTGATAGAAACGTTTGCCATGCGATCGAAGCCCTTATTATACTCGACTTATGCGCTCCGGTGCCCTCGTTCTTGATGTTCATTGCGACACTGAAGCTTTTAACGATTCACATAAGTTGATCATCAAGGCAAACGTAAACAAAATTGTTGAAACAAGGAATACACGTATACATGATAAAGATCGTTACTTTCGTGTTGTGTTCACATAAAATGTAAGCTAGTTTCGTATTCTGTGTAAAGCTAGCTGAATCGGAGATGAATTTCACTATTTTTTCAAAATCTAAGATATATACAGGAGTAAAATGCTTTGTAGGTGTGAGATAAATTATTGTCATATTTACAATAATTATTTTGGGATAGTCCAGCTTCTTTGTCTTAAATAATCATCAATTATTCCCAAAAGGGGATAGTACTTCGTATTAACTAGTATTTCATCATGTGAATTAAGGGAAGTATAAGGTTATTTTACACACTTAGTTCATTTGACCAAAGCCAACACATCAGTTCTTTACGCATTCGTGCATCATTTTAGTACTTATTTAGAAAAAGAAAATAAAAATAATGGATTGAATATGTCATATGAATTTCAAATTTACAAATAACATTATTTCAATTTAGGTACATAACTCTTTTTTGAATGAATTCAAATACGAAGATATAGACCAAATCCTTCAGTAAGAAAGCACGCCACGGTGTTGTTACATTGTTGCTCATATAACATCTCGTCGGAGACGTTGGAAAATATTATAATTGTTGTTCGTCCGTCTGACTTTCCGGCGTCCATCACGAAATTAAATTGAGCATCAAACTTAAACTATTTCATTTAGAAACCTAAAACCCCACACGTGGTTACTTGTCATAGAAAGGAAGTGCTGTTTCTAAAGACAATAACCAAGAATCATATTTTATTGTTTCTATTGCATAATTTAAGACTTAGACTCTTTGCTATTTTCCCTCTTTTGGGGTGGGGGGGGAGGGGGGGGGGGATGGAAAAAATCTAAAATATTTCAGGTTTCAACATAAAAATGTAATTAAAATATGAAATATGATACACTGCATATAAACAGTCACTCTACTTTTGAATATAATGAGATGTACATACTACTAAGAAGCATCGATTAAGTAGTGTAATTCAAAATTGTATCATAGTTTGGGGACCTTTCTGTTGAAAATGTGTCAGAGTTAAATCGTACACATATACATGCACACTGCTTTAGTTACCCGCACACTAGAGCATGTCCATTTAATTGGCTCATTTTTGCTGGGGTATACTTATTGCGAACGCAGGGAAATGGAAAGTGATAGAAATATCATATTCAGATGCTCGTTCATTGGTTACCTTTTCTGGGATTTCATATTGTAAAAACAGGGAACGTGTTTTTTATGTTTGACTATGATACAAAAGAGAAAGAACATCAAAACACTCGGCAATTTGATTGATACTCGTGGGCTATGCCCACTCGTACAAATCAGATAGCCTTGTGTTTCGATGCTCTTTCTATTACTTATTCACTCAACGGGGGTTATAAATTCAACGAATTTGCTAGTTGAGTTTTAAGTCTCTCTACATCATATGATGATTTCCGGCTCTACTGAAAGATGAACTCGGTCGCCCTTCCGCATGAGAGCGCATCCAGGTAGCAGAACAATCAACAACCAGTAAATTTACGTGAGAGTTCTTTATATGAAAAATTGTAGCATACGTGCAAAATGAACTTGCTCAAGCCGATGCTAGGGGGCGTAAGGGATGTTTCACTTTTTTAATATCCCTTATGTACACACTCAATCAAACCGGGTCTAAATTTTCATGTAATTTTGTTTTGATTCAAACTTCCAAGGGATCAACCTTTTTTCCAGATTTTCTTACATTAGTTTCTGCATAATATGTATTAAACGGTGAACTCATGGGCATGCTGCTTACATATATTTCATGAATGAATAAATTTAAAAATACAAAACAAACACGAAACAGGTTTATGCTTGTGTAATGTTGATATGATTACAAAACAACAAAAAACAACAAAAACAACAACAAAAAAAAAATATTACACTACTCGTAAGTCATCATCTGTTGTCGAACTGTTGTTGAGAAGAATAAGGTCTCTACAAAATTAGGAGAAAGAAAAATAATAATTGTGATAAACCTACGATGAGCCTTTTTCATGCTCTATTACACTATTACTAACATTTTCTCATATAAAGGCTTCAGTTTAATAAGAAATCTATGATTATAGCATAAATAACTCTGATCCAAGGGCAAGCGTACAATATACATTTTTCTAACGTTTTGGTCCGTAAGGAGATTTGGAATTTGTAAGCTATAATTGATCCATCATCCATAATCTATTAACGTCACTTTACAATCTAACGTTTTTACTTTCTTCTAACTTCAAGTATACTGATAGAAATTCCATTTATTATAATTGGAAATACTATTTTAGAACGTTTGTACTTTTCGACTGATCCGGTTACCAATTAAAATGTTGCAATGGAATCTCGTGTATCTGTGTACAAAAGGGGAAGGTACTCGCACACTTACTTACGTAAATATTATCTGGCTATTATAAGAGCTATTGCAAATTAATACAAACATTCTCCGAACAACCCTCGTAGGTATCTATGTTTGAATTACTTGAATTACTTACATAATCGTGTCGTTGTCTGTTTCAACTGAAGGGTATGAAGGTCCAGGGCACCGCCTTTCCAGAGGTTGTATATACGATCTGTTTTAAAGATTAACATGAGATAGTTCATTAGCATCCTTTAAAGAATTATGACAAATTGATGAAAAAAAAAAGAAAAAAGAAAATAGAACGTTATGTAACTAAGTAAAATGTGAAGTTCTGACTAATATGGTGCTATGGTGCAAGTGAACGTGGGCGGTTGATCGCATACATTACTGCTATTGAACAGGCCCAATCAAATATGATAAACAAGAGCAACAAGAAAGAGCGGCGTCCAATGAACGCAACCTCCAAACGACCCAGCAATAAGAACCAGCGGCGAGGAGCCCTGGAGGACCCCAAACAAAAACAGGACAGGGTGCAAGGCAGAGCACGGACAGGATAATGACATAAATGATACTTAAAAGAAATAATAGTAACCGACAAGGAAATTAAACAAAACGAATAAAATCGAGGTTGCAAAATTTTCAAATTTGACGTTTTGTCGATTTTAAAGCTTCTAATTTACTATTGTTTTAACAATTCTTTCATTTTCAGAATTATCGCAAACAAAAATAAATATTCCCTATTTAAATGCTGTTGTAACGCCAGACCTAGGGGAGGTTGACAATTGTTTGCAATTTGCGCTACGGTCCATAACAAGCTTGCAACGTAATAATTTATTCTGTGGCCTTTCGGGTTGCCTGTTTTACTACTGTATGGACAGCTTCAAAAGCAATGGTCGCCAATATTTTTTTTCAGGATCCGATCCTATCAAACCAGCTTCTAATACAGTATTTAAGCCATTTAAATATGTATGCATAAGTATGTAAAACGCATGTTATACTTTGCATTATTTTTCATAACATGTGAGTAGAAAATTAAAAGTGAGGGAAATGAACAAGATTTAACTATTAAGAAAGATGTCATGGATGTGTTATATGCATACATGATAGGTGACTGTTAAGGTTTCATGAAACAATAGTTCAAATGCCAGACCGGCTTGTCACAGAATTTAAGCTCTAGTCTTGTTTACAACTAGATATTTTCAAGTCCAAGTAAGTTTGCTTAGTGTAGGTTTCCTTAAAGCTTTTCTGTGAATAAACATTTAAAGAAAAAGGGTATACATAAACAGGATTACCAAGAAGTTGTTCACAAGTGCCGGTATTACAAAGTCCATCTCCGCAACATGCGGTACACACGTTAACTAATGACCTTTTCCCAACATTTCCACATATATTGCTATCATGACTTTGCCTACATTCTTCCATTCTTTTCAAAGCTTCTTTGGTCAGCAAAGTACAAATCTGAAACAGAGTTAATCACGGACCCTTCGTTCTAATTAAGAATTTATTATTGAATATTGAATACTGTTCAGAGCACGTGGGAGATGCTGTACTTTTTATCTCATAAACTAGCGTGAATTATGCTTCAATGGTCTGTCCCCTTCTTCAGAATCAAGATCAACAAGAAAAGGCGGCGTTCAATGAACGCAACCCGCACACGACCCAGCAACACAGGACAACCGACAATTAACAACATCAGAACCTAAATAAGAACAGGAAAGGGCACAAGCACGAACGTGGTGACCATGCATTTACAAGTGTTTGCATTTCACTTGAAATATATTTGCAGTCTATATTTTCTTGTCTGGTGCATACATTGTATCTTTTTAAGTAAGCGGTAAGAGGACTTAATTCATAGATCATTTTTATACATACTAGTTTTGGTAAACACACATATCGATGACTGTCTGACCCTAAATAATCGTATCTTTGTACACCACATGCCTGTAAAGATACAATACAACATTTTTAATGACAAAATTTTGCTTTAGCGCATAGCCTCGTGGGTGACTCAGTCCAGCGGGAGGTTTTTATTTCTTTTTAAAATTGAATTGTTCAATGTACACATGAATACGTTAGTGTATTTCAGAAGAGACAACATGAACAAGTTGTAAGTAAAAGCAGTAAAGCAACAGGGACCGTGTCAACAGTATAATAGAGATAAATAAAAATCCGTAAAGAACGCACAAAAAATGAAAAAGTTGCAGGCTCGATTTGATTTATCCTGTTCATACGAAGCCTTCCGGGACCTTGGTAGACTTACAGTAATAGCATACTGTATACATTGTTGAAACACCAGCCAGCAGGACACACAGACACTATACAAGTATGTGGAAAGACTTTTGTGCAAGTAATAATCACAAATTTCTTGGATCGGTTGAAAGATTATTAATTTTATTCATGAGTCCAACGGCGGTCTATGACCAGGAACACTGTGTTTAACGTAATTTAATAGAATAAAACTAACGGAGTGTGTCCAGATTTACAATTAAAGGGATATTCAGGCAAAATAATGACAAAACTATCAAAATGATCTTATGTACTCAAATCACGCTAAAATGACATTTCTTAAAGTTCAAGCATGAATTTCTGCTGTTTAAATTCTACATATTTTGGGGTTGAAGCGTAAATATATCTATTTTATTGAACAAAATTTAGACACCAATAAAATCACCGAATAGTTTTAAAAACAAGTCATGTCACTTGAATAAACCCTTGAAGTTACAATAACAGATATTGTTGATATTGTAGGATTGAAACAAGTCTAAGTCATTCATTTGACATGTTCTTTAACGTTTCCGGAGTTCACCGTGACAACTATTGTGAAATCCTAATGCTCTAACCTGACCCACGCGAGTCAAGTTAGGAAACCACCATTTTATTCTTTATATGGAGAAAAGTTTTGCTCTTTTGACTATCTAATGTATTCATTTTGGGGGCATTTACAGAATGATGAATGTAAAATCCAAAACTAAGAAATGAAAATTTTGCCTGTGTCTCCCTTTAAATAGCATACCTCGTTTGATTGACACACAGACTGCGATATACAATCCTGGGGTTCATGTACATCACCCTGTCCCGATGAACTGCTGTCACATGAATAGCACGTGCTCGTATTTGTGTTTGCTTCAAAATAAGAATAAGTAGTTTTTTTGTGGATTACTTAATGTTGAGTATTTAGCATGTATTTAATGAGAAGACATTACAATAAATTAAATTCATAAGTACGGAAACCATCCAATCTTATGGACTCGACTTCATAATCATCTTTGGACGTGACTTCAGATGTGAACAAATACGGACGGTTTATGTTTTATTATCAAAACGAATGTACTAATTTTATTTTTTTATTAGAAAATAATGTCTATTTTGAAAAAGTCATAATTGCAAAATATGTCTAACAATCAGAATAAAAGAATGCCCATTGTAACCAAATCCGTAATATCATCATAATTATACATATAAATAATGTGCTTTTCCATGAAAGCATATTTCTAAGTTCCCTAAAGTAGACTTGAACGAATAGACAAGGACTAAATATCGCAATTTTAGTTTGCATATCAACAGAAACACATACTTCTTGAAAAGCTGGTAAAGATTCTGACTTCAATGTATTATTTCTTTGACTTGGATGGTTCCAGTATTTCTTACTTAAATACGGTTTAATATACTTTGTCTTGTTTTGTGAGTAAATGAGTAGAAAATCCGACCAGAATTGTCACTTGTCAAATCGCAACATATGAACATGATCAGTTTATATCTTTCATAACTTCATCAAATCAGAAGCTAGGAAGCTGAAACCCACTTCGAGTGCGTCATAAACATTGCCTTACGGAATGGGCATATTGATAAATTCCAATTAACATATATAGAAAATAATTGCAAGTAATGTAAATATTCATGACTCGTAGCCAGTTTGTCAAATTGCAACATTTATTCTCGCTCGAACCAAGTGTGCAACCACTTCACGTCCTGTACCTTGTTTTGCATATCTTTCTGTTCCCTGGCTTATCTATATGAATCCATCTTCACTTACAATAAAATAAAACTTCCAAAATAATCACCGTATTTTATGCCACACAGTCGCGTGTTACATTCTGGTTCTCCGGAATATCTTGGTCTATTACAACAAGCCGAGCACGCCACTAGATCCCCTCTCTTTTGAAGCTCGCGTTTTCCTACGATTGATGGTTTACTGGTCCCAGCATTGCACACCTAAAATGTATAATTACTTTGTATTATATTCTCGGAAAGAAAACATTTGTGTTTGGACAGTACGACTTTGCTTTCAGTTAACTTACTCTATGGCTTAAGAGCTTTTAAGCGGAATGCAACGTTATACGTTGCAATTACATAAGGCCCAAAATTTTTGTATGCGTACATCTTAAATAGTTTTAAGTTTTGTTATTTACTGTACATTGAGTGTATATCATTTGTAGAAACTTATCAATTAACACAATCATCACCATTCGACACTATTTCCAAATAAGGTGGATAGTGGCAGAATACTTTAATAGTTTTTTGTGTTACTGAAATGTCAACCGAGAAAAAAATGAAAGAATGCAACCAATCATTTAAGGATTTCTTTATCAACCTAACTCAAATAATCCGTTATATAGCAGGTTCTGTTGAAGTACATTATTTAAAAAACATAGTTAACTTTTTTTCTACAAATGTTTTACAAAATAATAAAAAATAAATAGTATTTTAAAGATTTTATACATACGTCTTTAGCTCGACAACCAGCATTGTATACCACTGTCTTCTGATCGGTTATGAGCTCATCCAAATAGCATATCTGAACAATATGAAGTATAAAAATAGCTTTACTTGAAAGTGGATACAACAAATATCAAAAAGCCCCCTATAGGTTTATGATATTCGGAGCACATTTGGTTAAAGAGGTAGCTATTTAGTTTTTTAACGCACTTAGCAACGAAACAATGATCTGCCTATTTGATCGGGTTTGTAAATGAAGGCTTACCTCATTGACGCCACATGTTATAGATCCGCTACATTGGTCTAGGCTAGAAGCTCTGTTGCAACTCCTACATGTCAAGGTCACCGTTGGACCGGTCTGTCCATTTGCTTAAATTTAAAGCATAACCGCTCTTAAATGAAGCAAAATATAAATATATTTGTTTTTTATTTCAAGCTCCGATATTCATGATGGCAATATTGCCTTGACAAAAATATGAGAGTTTTGTGTTATGCTGTTTATCTACTGCTGAAAATTATATTTATTTCCCTGTGTGTTAGTAATTGATATCAATATCTTTCTTAAATCGAGGAAAATATAAATAAAAACGTTAATGCTACCATCGGCGGCAAGATATACATTTCATGCACTCTGATTACTCCGTATGTTTTACGAAACATCTACCCTATTCAGATATTTGTGCCGATAAAGGTTTCGATGCTGGTCTATACATTTTATCTGTAATGGCTATGTAATGGTTTTTATATTGGTTTCGATAATTGTTTTCAGTAAAATGTTATCAGATAACAATTACCTGACTTTGATGTAAAATACACAATGAATAAAACATTTAGCACGAAACCTGAAAAGCAACATATCATGTTATGATTATACAATATATTATTTTCATTATATATACATTTTATATAGGGAATTAAATGAGTGTAAGCTTAATACTAAATTATTTGTCTACAGTTTAGGTTTTATTTTGTTTTACGTATAGCATAGCGTTTTCTCCAAAACTGATGGAATGAGTTGAATTAAAACATTAGGTGCGAGCCTTTGGGGAGCATAATATGGTTTTATTAAAGCAACACGCCTCCAGAAGATATCAGAAAAACTTTCGTCGTAATTATGTTTCAAAATCTCTCTTTAAAACAAAATATATATAGCTGAGAGAAATCGAAATGACACGTTAAAATGATCATATTTTAACATTTTCGCTTTTCCTCACCAACAGGATATCTAATACGGAATTATTTCATACGTTTTTTTCTCGCACCACGTAATGTTTTGCGATCTGTGTTTCAAAAAGCACGGAATCCGGGATCGTATAAAAAATTAGAGGGAAACGAATGAATTTCTTTGGTAATTATGATATTAATTTGCAGTCCTTAACGTTATAATTGAACAATTGTATCATATATATAATGACCAGTATATCGATTTAAACTTTAGCTTGAAATATGATTAGGGCCTGCTCATTAACGAACATTGATATACGACCCTGGGCGTACCAGATTCCGGGATTTTCCGAACCAATGTTGTGACACGTGACCATGTTGAATCAATTACATTTCATATTCATATGATACTGCATTACTTTGCGACAGTAGATTATGCAAAGACTTTTGACAACCTTCTTTCTTGAATTGAGATGTAATAATGGATTTTTACATCAAACGTTACAAGTCCAGTATTGACCGTTTACTTGAAATTTTCTTTTCTTTTTGTTTCTTTTCAATTTACTGTCTTTAGGCGAGTGGCTTTAAATGAGTTAAAAAATAGTGATAAACCTGCATGAATGTAAAACCATTTACCGTTTACGGTTTTACGGTATTGTAATAACGGAAAACAACGAAAAACGACAATAGCACTTAATGTATGTAATCACAAGCAATAAAACAGAAAAAATATATATCTTGAACATTGTACGTTACACTCGTATGTTAGCAATAGGCTTATCATTGTATGATATAGCTATACGTTTACTGTTAATAGTCCTACCAATTTTGGATTGCAGCATCTTGAGACTATCCTATGTATGTCAACGACCTATATTTTCCTGTTCGTAAAAACACAAATGTTAAACATTTTAAAACAGTTATATATGAAAATTCGAATTAAAAACATCACATTTTATAATACTGCACGTTTGTAACGTCGATGCTCATTGTACAATAAACAAATGGCACAAGTGGCACCCATCCTGTATATAGCATCGGAATTTATGTTTAAATGTTGAGTGTTTTCGTTCGAAAAATAAACATGAATGATGACATTTACTAAACTTTTCAGAAACTATTATCATTTTTTAATTATTGAAAGAAAAAAGAGATCTTATAATCTAAAGTAAGCAACATACTTTATAGTTTGCATCTATCTAGTTTTTGAACTTAAACACCTTTAATAAGTACCCGAAATTGAATAACAAACCCTAAAACGTATCCTTAATTTGTTACACTTTAATTCCTACATTACAAAGACCAGTCATACATGTACATGCATTTCATAACAACCTGCTTATCTCTGGTTAAATATAGAACCAACACAATCAATGTGTATCTGTGAGATAAGAAAATGTTTGGATGAATCCTCCCGTCAAGTTTAAGAGTTTAACAATAATTTACGTACGCGCTCGCCATCCCTGATGAATTTTTCTCAATTTTCAACGCAATTTTTGCGTCTACACATTACATATCACATATGTATGTAGTCGAAGCTGTGATAATTCGTTTATCTCTTCATGTGAAAGTGTTCCGGCCATTCTAATGTGTCGTGTTTCAGCCCAGAGGGTCGAAGCCGCGCAATTACAACGTACAAAAAAGTGATCAAGTGAACATATAATAGATAATAGCAATGTGTCCTAGAGTATTGATCACACCGCTATGGAAACATTGGAACCCATACAACTCTACTTCTATTCGCGTGAGAGTGCTTTCGACAATCAAAAATATACTATTAGAACGTTTAGCCTTATGTTAAACACCCGTTCTCCTCGATTTTTATGCCTACTTAGGTAAGTCTCCTTTTGCGACTTATTAACTTTAACTGTATCAGGATGTATTACGAACGGTGCTTATTCGAATATACAAATGTATATTCAGGTGCAAATGATCTGGCCACTCCAAGGTGCCACGTTTCAGCCCATAACGTAGTCGCTTCGTTGCAACGTACGAAAAAGTAAAAATCACGTTATAAACAATGGCGGTTTCGTCCTCAGTGGCACTATTGTTCGTCAAAGAGTCAGGAAATACTCTTTTGTTGAAAAGTTGGAACAAGTTAAACGTTACGTCTACTTAATATGTGAAAGCGATCCAATGTTTTTCTACACACCAGGATGTAAAATAAACATGCAATGCCCCAGAAAAAATATCGGTTTGAGCCCAGAAGCTGACTGCGCAATTTAAAAGTTCCAAAAACGTTAATTAAAAATAATAATATACAAACAATAGCTTTTTCGTCTGTCTTGGCGCCACTTTTCGTCCTGTGAAATGCACCTTTATGGAACCTAAAAACACGTAAAATCTTAGTTAACTGCCTGAAAATGCAATCCCAACACTCCAAGGTATCGGCATTCCGTCTGAATCTTAGCGCCCTATGTAAAAAACCCGTTTCGACATGTTTCTCTACAAAGTTTCTTGCACTTCGGCGCAAAATTTCGTGCTTGAATCTTGATCGTTCGTCCTAATCACGTTCGAAATTATAGAGGAGTATTTCTTTTCAACACTTAGAGCGGAGACCTCCAGTCAAAAGTAAAAAATTAACATACGTATACACCGATTTCAGGATTTCAGACTTTGTCAATTTAAAAAAAAAACGAGAGAAAAATCAAAAATACGATTGTGAAAACTCGAAATAACGTAACCACGATGTTGAAAGGTCGAAAGTACGATAGCGAAAACACGAAATTATTTCGTGGTTTCGTTATTTCTGCTTTTCACAATCGTATTTTCGACTTATTTCATCATCGTACGTTTTACATTTCGCCATCGTAATTTCGTGTTTAGTCATGTGTGCGTTATAATGGTTAATTTATAAAAGAGTGAGGCTGTTTTTTTTACAAATATATTTAAGGTAACTTATGTTATACTATCCTAAATCTTTGCCATTATCATTTATTGTCTCTATTATAATAGTCATTCTTTTACAAATATACAACTTATTTAACTCAGCTTGACAGTGAAAATAATTAGTATGTCATCATGTCTAAACTTCCAGTCGAAAATTGACGAACGTGCACATTACCCCGGATCACCGCCTCAACCACTTCCAACTCTTTACAGTCTTGAAGCGAGTTTGCTTCTGTCTACATGGTATAGCACCAGAATGAAGCACAAACGGTGCCCTATTGTACAAGTAATTCGGATGTTTGGTTGTGTTTTGGTGAACGTGCGAAGCTTAATACGTTTTAGATTATATTGTGATTCATTTTGCTGGTGCTAATGATGTCAACGCGATGCAAAATCATCTCAGGGAGTGCGCACTTTACCCAGGGTAGCCACACACGGTATTGATTTTGATAAAATATATTTAATTCTTTTTTTTTTAATTTTCTCCAGAAATGGTTATTTAGCAGTCATCGTAATTAATAACCAGTTGCTATCTAAGAACTATGTTTTAAAACTTAAATTTACTATAGTTGCGTTTCACTAAACAAAACGTGCAATTTACGCCGTAACTTTTAAACTTTTGTAAATTTTATAACGTTAATGCGTAGCTAAGAAAATTTAGTGAAAATCAAATAAAAACCTTAGTTCTGCTTACGCAAAAAGTTCAAACGTTTAAACTCGAGTTACGATAACGTAAGTACGTTAGTGAAACGCACCTCTGTACCATTTTTATTTCGATTCTGTGTAAATATTTTGCAATATCTTTTGCATATGTTTTTACTTATTAAGTGTTCCAGTGTTGATCTATGAAAGAAATTCATATTTAATGTTTTGTGTTTCCCGACCTCTATGGAGATTAAGGGATATCTTGGCTGATAGTTACAATACAGGTGTTTTTCAATTCATTTTTAATACGAGCTTACTTGTTTTTATGTGTGTTATAAATTATTTGATTCAGGAGTAAAAAATGAATGTTTACTTTCGAGTCATGTTTTTCAGTTTTATCCTTGTCTTTATCAAGTCATGATATTTCGTTTAACATAGGGAAAGGGTTTAAACAAGTGATGCGTATAAGAATAAATGATTATTTTATTGCTTATTTATAATGTTTATCAACCGTTTTCCGTAAAACAAATGTTTGAATGTCTAAATTACAAACAACACTCTTCAATTGATGCTGTAACTAAATGATAGCTGTACATGTATGTGGCATTTGATAAATAGTTGGAAACACGTTAATATAAATCATTAGTTCAATAGTTTGTCAATCACATTGTTTAATTATATTCTTGTTGTATTATATTCTGGTTTGATTTATAGAAATATTAATTGTATAGTTTTCCAAACGTACTTACAAATGTATTACAGACATGAGATTCGACTTCACATTAACGTAGCTTGACATAAGGTCAGGGTATCGCATTGTAACATGGCCAGCGATTGGCTGAAAAAAAGTGCAGGGAAAACCGTATGAGTCAATTTATACATGAGGCGATTGGATGGAAGTGGGGTATTTTTAAGTAAAAAAACTAATTTAAAAAGTAACACTACACTGTTTTCTGAAGAAAATGAAATATTTCATGAGTCTCTGTGATAATTTTGACTTGGATATTTGCATTCATAAAAAGTGTATGTCAGTCCTGTGATCAGCAGAAAATTTCAATGAAATGGGGGGTAATCCTCTCTGAAGTCATTTTGCAAAAAATTTGGTCGGCTACCCCTATATAACAAGAACATTTTCATGTGTCAGGCATTTCATTCTGCTAGAAAAATTAGCTCTTTAGCATGAAAACTCAATTTTAAGGTAGGATTAGGGACCATTTCTTATAATGTAAGTCTATTGAAATATCAATGTGAGTGTCTGACCTAAAGAGATGGAAATTGGAACTGTCATAATTCATTTGTAGTACTTTGTCTTCATTGATACACCATGAAAAGCTGATATTTTGGAAGAATGGATGTATACAGCCTGTCTAGGTTTGAAATTTCATTATTTCAATGCAACTGTTGGTGTTTACAGCAGATTATGTGTCAAGGGGGTCAATCTACAAGCATTGTTTACATATGAACAAGAGTATTAGTGTTCCTTAAAAGTTAATAATAATGGTTTGTATTTTCTTTAAACAGTGAATTTGAGTGATAATTAATTGGTAATATGTTGATGATGAATAATGTAGACCTTGGTCATTAAAAATATTTTTTCAGATTTCAAAGAAATGCTGTACATTGGCTATACACATGCCAGGTTTGAAGACTTATGTATAACTTGACAGGACCTGATGTAATCACATTGGCCACTTTTGATGGGTGTTGCAGGTATATCACTACAAATGCATATTGCCAGGTTCAAAACTAATTTATTAATACTAGAAATAGTCTAGGGTGCTGTTTCGGTTAACTTTCGACTTTATTTAGGGGCGGACATTTCTTCGCTCGGCACTAATTTTTTTCCATTTTGCTCAAATATTTACATAGAATGTCACAAATAAATTGCTTCTATGTCTGTTTCCCATATAAGAATGTTTTGTGTTTCATTTACAGGCATAGATAGCATAAAAGCTTCAAATAAATAGCATTTTAAGTCTTCTGTCTTAAAATTTACTTGGTTTCATGGCATGAATATCAACACATACTTTGAAATTGAAATCCATTGAAAAATGTAGCATAATTCAGTTAGGTAGCCTCTGAATAGCCTCTTATTATGTGGTTAAGATGCAAAATAGTGATAAAAATTTATTGTTTTCTATTTGGTAATACATATTTACACACTCACAATGTATAATGCCATAGTTTTTAGACTTTATATCTGTTTAATGCATAATTGAAATGAGCATCATAATGGCCAAGGGTAGAATTATTTTGTAGAAAAAGTTTTATTGATAAGTAAAAGTTGATCTACTTTTTCACAATCATATTAGGCACCAATTATAACACAGCTTTAGTGTCTCTAATGTGTCTATAAACAGAAAAAGCACTTATTCTGGTAGATAAATGTACACAAAGGGTGTGATTATGCACAACTTTAGTGAATTACCTCCCTTTATTTATTGAGAAACTTAGATAAGTGCATAAATTCTAGTGTCTGGCTACCTAAATGAGAAGAAAATACACAATACTATCCATTCCAAGTACATTTTGGTCTGAAGAGGTGATTTACATGGTAAAACACCTGAAAGAAGGTTTCAATTGTCATATTTGGCTCCAAATGAATGCAAAAATGGCCAATAAATTGAGTGTAGAAGTCAAATTTTAGGCTATTACTGTGCTGTTAAGTCCAGAGGAACTTGGTTTTTCCATATATTACATTTTATATATCCATGTAAGAGAGAGACAAAATATATATAAAGAATTTTGGCATTTTATTGACATTTAGGCTTGTATTTAAGACTATATAAGCAAATATTTGGAGTAGAAAAATACAGCAG